GTATCATCTGGGGGCCTGCCATCAAAAAAATGTCAAATCCAGATTGCAAAACAGAAGGTGGGATAGATTAGAACTTTTTTTTCACACAAAGGAAGATTGATATGATTTAAAAAAAACCTTATTCTATCCCACCTCGACAAAAGTTCATCTACCAGATTTCAGGAAACTGGGAATTTTTTGTTGGTTTACTTCCAGGTGAGAATGCGACAGCTGCAAGTTGATTTTTCCTGTTATTTTTTTTCCGGTGGCAGGCTCCCAGGTGAAAATGTGACAGCTGCAAACTCGATATTATTGACGTTTTTGCGGTGGCAGGCTCCCAGGTGAGTGCGGCAGTTGAAAACTGAACCTTTTTAGATTTTTTTTTTGCGGTGGCAGGCTCCCAGGTGAAAATGTGACAGCTGCAAACTGGATATTTTTGACGTTTTTGCGGTAGCAGGCTGCAAATATGTAGAATCCCAAATAAGGATCTTTATGCTCGCGTGCGTGCAGTCTACTTACCGCGAAACAACGAGTTACACCTTACTACAACGTCTCCCCGTCAAAAACGTCGTAAACAACCAGCAAAACCGAAATCACATGGTTGCTTCCCTTGAAGCAAAACAAAGATGTCACATGTTGTGACTGCTTCTTACAAACAAAACAAACGAACTCACTCAAACTGATTTGTTTTGAGTTGGTTGGTTTGAAAAAATTGTTCTCGTGGTGAATAAGCCATGAAACAAAAAAACGAATTCCGCTCATCCGGTGGTGACATTTCATGTCATGTTGAAAATGACGTAAATTACTCATTTTCAGACAAACCTATATTATATATATATAAGTTACCGGCTAAGACGCCAAGTCTAGAAGTCATCCTTCCAAGTTACGCGCAGAAAAAAACGCATGTGAAATAAAACCAAAAATAACATGTGACATGCGGACATGTGAAAAACTGCCGTCGACAAGTTGAAGCTGAAACACACTTGCACATTCAGTTTTCTTTTTCCTGTCAAAGCATGGGGAAAATCTTAAATTGTTCCAAGCTGGATCACACTGGCACGGTGACACAAAACCCACTTGAATCCAAACATTTCTTGAGAAAAAGAAATGAGTGACCCCGTTTGCATTACACATGTTAAATGACAAGCAACATTCATTGATCGTTGCACGTTTGTTAAAACTGACAGTTGGTGCATTCATGTTTGTGAATCAGCTCACAAGGTTGGAACATCTCCAACTGAACATCTGACATTTAAAATACAAGACGGAAACGCGATAGTTTCACGCCAGCTTCAGGGATGATCGCTGTGTTCAAGCCGATCTAAGCGTCACGTGCTAGGTCCCAACAAAGAGCGGGAAATCAGACAGGGTGGCACACTCTGTTTCAGAAAGCCTGCCGGGTCTCCAAACCAAAGTCCAAATGGTCAAGCGCAACGCTGAACCTATCTATAAACCGCTATTGACAAGTCAACTGCAAACGTCCCCCAGCGTTTTGCGCGAGCCCGCGCAGGCGAAATGCACATGGACATGTGATAAGAGGCATTTCGTGGGGAAATTTGCAGGGAAAATGCCGGACCCGTATTCCAAGGCAAGCATTTTGTGCGAGCCTGCGCAGTCAAAATGCACATGGACATGTCACAAGAAGCATTTTGTGTTATGTCACCCACACATTACTACCACAATTTCAGCGTTGATGCAAACGTCAGGCAAATAAGACAACATGTCGGTGAAAATGGGCCACTCTTCAATGTAGCCTTGTCTGAAAGTGAAGGTTGAAATGGGCCACTCTTCAATGGTATCTCCCTGCCAAGTGGCTGCAAAAGTAGTTGCACTGCTGGCCCGCGCATCTGATTGACACCGGCACACAAGGGCATCTTCAGCCCTCAAAAGATGAAGGTCGAAACTGCCCGAAATAAAAATCATCATTTGCACAATCTCCAATGATGTTTTGTTTTGTTCCACGTGAGAAGAGGAGGAAATAAGTAAATAAAGGGAAACGAGGACAAGCAAATGACCACATCAGAGTAGTGAGTCCGTGCACAGCAGACAAGCGTTGCCGACCCGCTAAAACTTTACAACACTCAAAACTAGAAATGCTTCTGGAGGAAGTAAGCCAGGCCTCCGTTGTGATAGTGAATCCTGGTCGCTTCATGGGGCGGGATGTTCCCCGCAAAAAAGCAGCTTAAACATCGTCGCATTGCAGAACGTCAGTTACTCATCTAAACACTATGTCATACAACAGGTTGAACATCGAGCCTTCAAACACAGATGCTGCTGTTCATTGATGCAACCTTGAAAGTCATTAACACCTTTTGTCATGCGCACTAACCGGCGCTAAGGTGAAGAAAACCAAAGCTTTGCTGTTCCCCAGCGGTGCGCACTAACTGGCGCCCCAGTGAAGAAACTACAATGTAGCCAAGGTTGAAAAGACTACACACTCGCCTGAGTTTGGCGTGAAATCAAAAAAAACAACTCCTCTTTGCTCAATCGACCAGCTTTGGCGATGAGTCTCTTCTGCTTTTTGCTTTCGCTTTTCAGCGTTTTGCTGACGTCTTTCAGCGAAGCTTTCAACTCCTGCCTTCTCCGCTTAAGGTCGCCCAGCACGTCAGTCATAGTAGTAGAGATCACAGGCGCAGCCACGGAGGAGGTCACAGCTGCACCGTCAGCCATAGAGCCCATAGAGGTCGCAGCTGCCAAATCATGCGCGCCGTCAGCCATGGAGCCTATGGAGGTCACAGTGGGGTCACTACTGGCGCAACAGCAGGGTTTTTCGTCTCTACAAATTCAATCAGAGCCGTTGAACAGGCATGCACAGTTAGCCAGCGCAGCTGTTTCCACACTGAACAAATGCTGGTCAGGCACCAGCAAAACGGCTCCATGTTTTGAACTGTCTGACGGTCCTTTTTTCAGACCTCCGCAACGTTCTGTCATTGTAGCATTACAGCAAAAAAATAGGAATAACAAGAATATCAATTGGGATATTTCGCAGTCACTCTCAAGCCGAAACAACGGTGTAGGCGAATAATCAACCATATTCAATCATATTCAGATGTACAAAACCGTGGTGTAGTTGGTGCCGACATCTTCCAACAGCCGCCGATTGACGTGGAAAATCCATATACAGCGCATGCGGGCATTTAGAACACAATGAAATGTAGAAACTTTGCAGTGATCTCAATCTCTCATGTGGAGGTTTCCTAAAATGGGGGAATATTCCCAAATCATCCAACGCAGACAATTTCGAATTGAAACCCATGTTGACTTGGGGATACCGCATGACTGAAGAACCCCCCATGAAACCCCATGTGCTACGGAAAAACCATCAACCAAGAATCTCCGAAACCAGAAATGGCTAAGAAAATCATCCCTACTTGGAGGATCTTGAAGGTTTATGGCATTGGGCCAAGGCATCACCTCGGTTGATTTAAGCTCCGGTTTAGGAGAGGTTTTCCCAGCTAAGCACCATAAACAAGCACCGTAGACTGTGGAATATGGAAGAAGGTGGCGTGCAAAGTGTTGAGTGTGGAGCGTAGAGTGTGGAGTGTAAAGTGTCGAGTGTAAAGTGTGGAGTATAAAGTGTGGACTGTTAAAGTGTGGAGTGTGGAGTGTAAAGTGTTGAGTGTAAAGTGTAGTGTGTGGAGTGTGGAGTGTGAAGTGTGGAGTGTAGAGTGTACAGTGTAGAGTGTAGAGTGCGGAGTGTGAAGTGTGGAGTGTAAAGTGTAGAGTGTGGAGTGTGGAGTGTAAAGTGTAGCGTGTGGAGTCTGAAGTGTAACGTTTTGTTTTTGGGATTGTATCCCGTTTTTTGGGGTTTGATGGTTTTCATTCGTATTTGCAGCGTTTTGCAGCTAAGCTCTCTGATTTGCATGGTGCCTGTTACATTTAGAGTTTGGATCCCCTAGGCGTGTGATATTTTGAATACCATGGATGTGGTGTTGTTGTTGTTGTTGTTGTTGTTGTTGTTGTTGCTGTTGTTGGTGGTGGTGGTGGTGTTGGCGTTGTTGGTTTTTCGTGTCGTTGGTGTTGATGGTGTTGATGGTGGTGTTGTTGTTGTTGTTGTGGTTGTTGTTGGTTGTTGTTGTTCTTCTTCTTCTTGTTGTTGGTTGTTGGTTGTTGGTGGTTGTTGGTTGTTGTTGGTTGTTGTTGCTGGTGCTGGAGTTTTCCTTATAGAACCTGAACATTTGCTACCTCAAAATCGATGTTTCGTGCGAGGCATCCGTCATTTTTCATCACATCTCACAAAATGCCACGCCTGCCACGGAATTTGCACCTTGTCGCCACTTGACGCAATCCTGACAATGCGATTCGCAAAAAACACGCAACACAACACGTCTAAAGTGCTGCGCCTGCCACGCAAAATGACGCTGGACACGTCCAAAGTGCTGCACCTGCCACGAAAACTGCAACTTTCTTGCGAAAACGTCGCCAAAGTATTGCGCCTGCCAAACTAAATGATTTTCGACGCGTTACAAAACACATCTGAATGTCACGAAGTGCCACGCCTGCCACGCGAAACGAAGCAACGCGACGTTTGAAACCTCCAAAAATGACCCCTTCTGCAGAACTTGCCATAGGCACGGCCATACGGGGATCGCGCGAACGGTTGCGAACGGTTGCGAACGGTTGCAAACGGTTGCGAACGGTTGCGGACGGTTGCGGACGGTTGCGGACGGTTGCGGACGGTTGCGGACGGTTGGGCAACGTCGAGCGAACACACCCTCAACCCCCAGACCCCCAGAGTGAAACGGGAACCCTTGCTGCTACGCATTCAGGATTTCCAGAAAAAATCAAGAAAACCTAACCTGCTCTCCAGCAATCAAACCTGGCAAAGGTAAATCCTAATTGTTCGACAGGAACAATCATCTGCAGGAGACGTTCCAGCCAGGTATGATGGAACCAAAGAGTACAAGACACTTGGGTTTGTCCGAACCCATGCGGGATACCCTGACGTTGCCATAATGGCAAAATATTGGGAATGATGATAAACCACCAAGTTGGAAATATGCCTTGCTGTCACCGAGGGGCATGAGTTTGTTGCAGTGGTCGATCCAGGCGGCCTCTCCTTCCGATTCGAAGGCGTCTATGACATCATCGATCCTCAGCTCTGCAATCGATTGGAAATTGATACCCTATAGTAGGTTGACATAGATCGCGAAAATAACCCATTTTTTGAAACTAATCTTCCAACCCCTATCTGCCAGGGTCTATGTTACTGTACTGGAGGGTATGCCTTCTCACGTGCAGAATTGAGGATTCAACCAAGGAACAACTGACCAATCCTCTTTGTGGTCCCATTGGTGCCCCAGTGTTGGGCCACTCCAATCAAACGAGACATTTTTTCTTGGATATATTCATATATCTATGATCTATATATCTATAAATAAAGAAAAGATGATAAAGATTGTTATAAAATAGGTATAAATGGTTATATAAATCATTATAAATCTATATATGGGGGTTGTTCAAAATTATGATACCCCAAAACTGCCCTTACGCCGCCCTTTCGCGAAACTTTCGCGCCCTTCCGCGCCCCAGCAGAATCGGGACAGGAAATTATGATCATGTTCGTGCGCATAGTTCCTAATAAAGAACAGGAGGATTGTATTTAAAACAAGTGGAAGCATTCGCGTAAGTCGTTTTACAGATTGCCCGACAACAGAATCACAAATTGAAAGGACTTTGCAGGGTTTTTGCAGTGGCAACATTGCAAGACAAACTAGACCATTTTGGGCCAAGGTGGGATCCTGGCACACTCGCCTTTCGCCAACCTTTCGCGAACCTTTCGCGGATTTCTCGCCTAGAAAAATGGTTTTTAAAATTCATGTTTCATGAGAGGATGGGTGGGTGTTCTTGTTCAATGGTTGTATGAATGCAACTGTAACTGACAAGCATGAATACTATATCAAATCCATCTATGATAGTCTAATAGGCATATTCAGACCTTTTGCGAACCCTTCGCCGCCCTTTCGCGGTCTTTCGCCACTGCAGCAAAAATACAAATGCATATCTGCAGATGTCACTCGGATACTAAAAGTCTTGCATGGGTTTTAGAACGACTCCCATATACTGCCAGAACCATTTAAGATGACTTACGTATCTCTTATGAGACTGACCCAGGGTCACTGACAAGCACACTGGCATACAGTACGGTAGACATATATAATATTCGACATACAAATGTGAGATATTGCATACATATGCATATATTATATACATATATCATGTACGTATATTAAGTGTATATATATATATGTGTCTGACGTGTGTGTGTGTATTTTTATATGTATGTATGTATATATATATATATGTATGTATGTATGTATGTATCTATCCGCGCTATTCTTGGGCGAAGTCTCTTCTCCTTGACCCTTTCAAACTCCGCATGGAGAAACTGCCAAACCTCTTCCACATTGCTGGCCTCGGAGAGGCCAGTTTCGATCTGTGAAAAATCTACCTGGGTTACCTTGGGAATTGAGTTCTTCTGGTCCTTTCATCAGAAAAAGAACATGAAACACAAGAACTAAATCTTTGCATGTATATATTAAATTAGATTTGATTTGATCTAAAATGATTTAGATGATATTCGTTTTCATTTTGATTTTAATTTTGATTTGATGGATGGATGGATGGATGGATGGATGGATGGATAGATGTGTGTGTGCAATGTGTGTGTGTTACATAGATTATGATTATACCACACTTCCGCCAGATGCATGGCCCAAGAACTAGGCCACTTGTATGTCCATGATTTCACCTTGCATCGTGTTTCTTACCGTTTCGTGCTAATATGGGTCTGTCTGGAAATTGGGTACCCTCAAATCCCGTGGTTTACCACCATTTCCATCCATGCCCCCCATTGAGATGGCCATTGGGCCATTGGGGGTCTACCCATTTTCAGACACATTTATGTACATATATGTACATATATATATAATATGAACATATTTAAAATCGAGGACATGGGCCTGTCCTAATCTCCTGCTACTAGCTGCTGGCAGGACTTAAGTATCTGTGGGCTGATTTGCTGTCACATAACCCTGCCTGTAGTCACGGCAAAGGTTTGCCTGACCAGCCCTCAAAGCGAAAGAAAATCAACATATTCCCAGTAGATACCAGGAATGGTGGTTTAACCAGCGGGCAATCCATTGAACAAATTCTGCACAAGAAAAAGCGGCATTTTCAGGTGGCTGCCGGCCGTCTGGACACCCAAGCGCATCGAGACTAAGTGTGAAAGACTCAACCGTCTTCACCAGAAATGGTTTGAAAAGAGGCTAATCCTTGCAGATTGGAATTCTGAATGAATCTTGTATGTTCCATCTATGGCTCTATATTATATATACGTATATATATATAATAATATATATATATATATTAAGTCATTATTTAAGAAAACACCCTTCAGCAGCCCGCGATGCAACCATCTTGCAGGCGCAAGATGCATTCAGCCAGTTGTGGTTGATGGAAATTGCCAGCGTTAAATTCTCCACCTGGTGACAAGGTGCCCAAGCCACAGCATTAGCGAGTTCTGATCGCATGTGATTGTACAAAGATCTACGCTCTGGTAATCAAGCGTGGCTGGCTGGAAAATCATCTATAGATGGAGTTCCTAGCTGGGAAAATCGCCTATAAAGGGGGAATTTTCGATTGCCACGTTTGATTGCCGGAGGGTAGTCAGAATGGGTCAAGCTTGATGAGTTCTGTTTGCCCCAGCGGGTTCCAAGGTTCCAAGGCCAAGGAATGCTACCGGGCAAGAGAGTTCCAACGTTAAAGAGTTCTAGATTACCAGAATTCCAGTTTTTCCCGGGTGGCTACAGGCTCACTTACACCCGACCGATTCGACTCACTTGCACCACCCACTCACTTACACCGCAAGCACTCACTTACAACCAACAAATTCGAATCACTTACACCAGCACTCATTTCTAGGGGATGCGACGATTTATGTTCAGCGTGTAGGAAGCAGGTACGACAACTTTAGGGTTTCTGTGCTTGACACAGGAAGTACACAGGTGCGACACCATTAGGGTTCTTTGCTTCACACAGGAGAACACAGAAAAGACACCTTTAAGGTTTCTTCGCTTCACACAGGAAGTACACAAATACAACACCTTGAGGGTTTCTGTGTTTCACAAAGGAAGTACACAGTTACGACACCCTTAGGTTTTCTGTTCTTGACACAGGAAGTACACAGGTAAGACGCCATTCGGGTTTCTTTGCTTCACACAGCACGTACAGAGGTACGACACCTTTAGGGCTTCTTCGCTTCACACAGGAAGTACACAGGCACGACACCTTTAGGGTTTCTTCGTGTCACGCAGGAAGGACACAGGTACGACACCTTTAGGGCTTCTTTGCTTGACACAGGACGTCGACAGGTACGACACCTTGAGGGCTTTTGTACTCCACAAAGGAAGTGCACAGGTACCACACCTTTAGGGCTTCTTTGCTTCACACAGGACGTCGACAGGTACGACACCTTGAGGGCTTTTGTACTCCACAAAGGAAGTGCACAGGTACCACACCTTTAGGGTTTCTTCGCTTGACACAGGATATACACAGGCACGACACCTTTAGGGTTTCTCCGCTTACGCAGGTACGACACCTTTAAGGTTTCTGTGCTTGACACAGGAAGTACACAGGTAAGACGCCATTCGGGTTTCTTCGCTTCACACAGCCAGTACAGAGGTACGACACCTTCAGGGTTTCTTCGCTTCACACAGGAAGTGCACAGGCACGACACCTTTAGGGTTTCTTTGCTTCACACAGATGTTGGCAGCAGGTTTTTTGTGCATCATGTCAGCTCTAGGCCCTGCCTGCTTTGATGATGATGGCCGTGATGAGGACGGTGATGCAGATGATGGTAGCTCTGATGATGGTATGACTTACTACAGTAGATATTTTGGTTTTTGATGTCAATGATGCCGATCATGAAGAAGGAAACGAAGGTTATGATAGTGAGTTTGATGATGGCATGACATACTAGATACTTAGGTTGACGAGGTCATTGATGCTGATGATGAAGAAGGATAAGAAAAATATGAAGTCCGTGACGTTGATGGTGTTGTTGTTGTTGATGATGATGATGATGATGATGATGATGGTCATTGTTGTGATTTGGTGGTGCTAATGATTTTGGTCCTGAGCACGTTGGTGATGAGCATGGTAGCGATTATGATGATGATTCTGATTATGATGTTGTTGATGGTGATGATGGTGATGATGTTGATGATGTTGATGATGGTGATGATGATGATGATGATGATGATGATGATGGTGGTGGTGATGATGATGATGATGGTGATGATGGTGGTGATGATGATGATGATTATGACGACGACAATGGCAATGATGACATGGAAAATGACCATTAGACTATTAGACATGATCCTGACCCAGAGCCGTAATGGCAGCGCAAGAGATACAAATCACGCAGGTGTAAGCGATGCAAATTTGGCGGTTGCAAGGGATACAGGGACCTTCAAGGGTTCCAGGGTTCAGGGTTCCAAGCATCAAGGTTCCAGACTTTCAAGGGTCTTGGTTTGATTCATCAGCAACCAAATGACCAGAGCCATGCAAAGCAAACGCAAAACAAAATAGGGTTGCTTCAATTTATCTTTAAAAAATGATAAAAACAAATGGTGATCCACAGCAAAGCGTCAACCCTATAACTTCACAAGGTTCCACGGTTCAAAGTTTTTCAAGGCTTGTGGTTTCCAAGCCAGGGTAGCAAGGGTCAAAGGTTGCAAGAGGCCAGAGCTCGGGGTTCCACACTTCCATGACTCTAGAGTTTCATAGTTCCAACACTCCATGGTTCCAAGATTCCATGGACCAAGGGATCCATACTATGAGAATCGCAAAATTCAAGGTTTCAAGGTAAAGTTTGAGGGTTCGCAGCGTGCAAGGTTAGCAGCACTCACCGCAGCAAGGGTCGAGGGATGTCGAGGGTTCCAGGATTCCAGAGCTGCAGGGCTGTAGAATTCTGAGGTTGCACGGTTCCAAGTTTGCAAGGTTGCTGGACAAGGTTCCAAGGTTGAAGGGTTCCAAGAGGCAAGGTTCCAAGAGGCAAGGTTCCAAGGTTACAGGGTTCCAGGAATCCAAGGTTGCAGGTTTCCAGGGTGTCAAAGCTCCAAGATTCAGATTTCAGAGTTCCGGGATTACAGGGTTCCAGAGCTCTCCAGAATGTCACAGGGCAAGGTTCCAAGGTTGCACCACGATTTCAAGGATGCAGGTTTCCATTCAGGATCACAGGGTTGCAAGATTTTACGGTTTCAGATGTTTCAGGGTTCCAGGATTCCGGGGTTCCAGGTTCTAGCGCTCCAGGTTTTTCATGGTTCCAAGTTTCCCAGAGTTGATGACGGATTCCAGCATTACAGCTTCAGCAAGGGATCGTCGTCTTTAATTGTCTGCCCTGCTCCCCCTAACCTGAAACAGCCCAGCACATGAAGCAAAGCAAGAAACACTTCAAAAAGAAGTGTGAGCAACACAAAACCCAGAGAAAATCCAGAAGTTGTCTTCATATAGGTTCCGGCAAGGCTGCAAACCGGTTCCAGCAAAGACTTCCAACATCACAACCCGGCACATTAACCAAAGCAAGACAAAACAAACAATAACAAAAACCACACCTGCAAGGGTTTCAACAGAGATTCCAGCACAGGGTTCCTGCAAAGTTGCAGCAAGCTTCCCGCAAGGTCCCAGCAAGTTTTCAGCGCAGTTCCAGCAATGTTCCAACAGAGTTTTAGCAGGGTTCCAGCAGAGTTTCAGCAGGGTTCCAGGGTTCCAGGAGAGTTCCAGCAGTGTTCCGGTTTTCCGGGCCATGCATTTCCTGGCACCACTCTCCGCCGAGATTGAAACCCAACAGAATCGCTGTTGGGAATTGTTCCTTACATTCGGACAACAAAACATCACAATCAGAACTCTACGTTTTTCATTGGAAAAACCAGTGGGTATGTGGCATAATCATGGCGGATTTTCCAAGCCAGATAAGATTTCCGGGTGGTAAACAAAAAAAGTAGTACCTTCCACCAGGAAAAAGACGAAATAAAGGAAACCAGTTTCATATCAATGAAGGAAAAAAACATCTGCGACCTCCCAACTAACCAAATCAACCCTGGCAAATGGGGAGCTGGAAGATGTTCATTCCTTTAAAAACTGACAATTCTCAAGGTCTATGGAGTCGATGGCAAAGATTGGTATGACATTTTTTGCCGTTGATGACGCAAAATTAACATATTAATCTATTGAAAATCAAAGTTTATGTACATATACCCATTGCTACTTTGAGGCCAATTATTGGTTTGAATACCCTCTGGTAGTTTACCATATAAGAAATTCACCACGGTCAATAATAGATAAATCATCGAACTACATCGGCTATCTACACTATAGCAAACTGTAACAAATAATCATCGGGTATATTTAGATATCCTATGAATTCCAATGATATTACCAATATATGCGGTTCCCAAGATTATGGGAATTGAAATTCATTGATCGTTCCCATTCCCAAAATTACTGCTAATTCATTACATCCCACTAAATTCTCATATTATATCCCCATAATGACATACCAAGACAGTGTCTGGCTGCATTACAATAATTCACTGACCCGTGAGGGGGTCGCTGTTATCATACAGCCATTTGGGGATGGTTTCGCAAAAAAAAAAACAAGAACATCATTCCAATGACATCACAGTGAGGTCATTCTTATCTAGGCTTCATCCAGATGGGATATCATGGGGATTAATGGAATATATGTGTATATATATATAGTGGGGATAAATGAAATTCATTTCAATGTCATGGGATATGATGGAAGATGGAACCAGCAATAGTACAAATCATTTGGTAAACCCACTGCCATTGACCTACCATTTGGGGAGGGTTGAAATCCCCGCCATGGGAATTAAGGGCGACGAATCAATTCATTACAGTCATTTCATCCAAAAGACTACTTAGAACGGGCCATGGGATTAGTCAACTGCTCAGTAACTGGCTTAAAATCCATTATTGCAACCCTCTTATTTCAGCTAGGTACTAACCAGTTAACTAATCCTAGCCGCAGCCAGCCAGGTACTAAACAGTTGACTAACTCCGACCCATGACCGAAGTGCCCACCGACTCCAAGGCGCCTCATGATACCAACCGCTGGGCACAAAGATCAGCTCGCCCGGCTCCTGGATCACCTTGAAGAGAGGTGAGATTGGACTGGAAATGATCGGCTAAGGCCAGGGAGCCAATCACGGATTTTGGGGGGTTTTATGACATTACGAACACTACCTCCAAAGAGAATTCGAAAATGAATGAAAATGACATGTGAGGACTTTGGGAGAGGCTATCAGCGTCCCTTACGGAAAAACCCGTTATTTTGAATGAGGTTCCCATGTGCTGCTCGCCATTGCACATATTTCCTCTACCAATACCCCCGTTTTCACGGGAGGTTGTAATAGGTTTATCAACAAAAGAGGGTGCTTGAACTCCCCACACTTGGAAATCTACTGACGCCAGTGAAAGAGGAAGATAGTTGCAGGGAAAACTACTAAAATCGCGACCACATCTCCTGCAGACTGTCTTTGGAACCCTACGCCTGGTTTTTCTTTGGGCTGTATATTCAAACCAAAAGTGCGGGGCATGTTTATATTGACCCATTGGCACAAACAACGTTCGAAAAATATAAAGGTATAAAATAATAGAAAAACACATTTACTTCTTAAGCTGTTGCATTAGTACTGGATCATTTTTTCTCAAATGAGGAGATCAAAACAAAAAAATACCTGATTCTGATCCATGACTAGTCCCAGTTATCAACTGGATTCGAAGTTTGATAAAATAAGGCTGTTGTAATTCAGCTTTCAAAGCCACCTGGCTTCCAAAGTGGGATCGGCCCACTGCCACCTGTCACTTTTACTTTCACGTTCATGTCTTGCGCCCTGCATGCCCACAAGGACAACTCAGCGAACCTCGCTTGGTATTGTACAAAGATTATGTATATACATATATAGACATATAATTGTGGGAAAATGAACGTTTCACCACGATGAATTGAAACTTTCCAATCATCAATGAGGGATTTAGTATGATTCAGATATATAGCTGAATCCCAAGTCAGCAGTTTTTCATCACTAGAATCTTTTTGTTTTTCATATTTAGCATCGTTTAACATCATTCAGCAAAAAAGGGAATAGCATGGAATATCTTCGTAGGTCCTTGGCTCCCCATCTGTTGGATGCCCTTTTTTTTCAGCTCGGAACCGCTCCCTCCAAACCACCAGTTATCACCTGATCGCTTAAGAATAAGATCTAAGTATAGAACCCCCCCAAAAGATGTCGAACAGTAGGGTCCCATTCACAGATGCTCTTGATTTTTTTTTGAATCGATGAGGGTTCCTATATCATCTATGCCCTTTACTTGGATGAAAACAAAAATCTAAACACATCTGAAATGTGACACATTCCGGGGTTGTTATGATTCTCCCACAAGCAACTCCCAAAATCATTCCAATAACAATGACATATCAGTAAATGGGAACAAAATTGCCCATGTATCATTAGTATACATCTTAACAAATATCAACTAATAGATATTATATCGATTCATTCGATGATATTGTCATTGATAATATAGTTAGATATTAGTTGGTCATTGTGCTATATTATGCTAATATCATCTAATGTCAACAGGAATGATATTACCTTAACAAACAATCTATAGTTGGATATTAGTTAGATATCATATGATATCTATATTGCCTATTAGATATAGTTAGATATCAGTTCGATATATAGCTAGACATTATCTGGTTGGTGGTTGAGCCACCCCTCGGAAAAATATGAAAGTCAGTTGGGATGATGACATTCCCAATATATGGAAAAATAAGATTCATGTTCCAAACCACCAACCAGTTATATATATATACCTTCTCGGTAAACGTTCGCATAACTATGGAAAATCAGCATGCTATTGTAATGCTATTATATAATCTGAGGAATCCACTATTTCTATCACCATTTTTCAATAGCAAACAGTTTGTTTACCAGTTAAATTATATATATATATCATATATCATATATATCATATATATATACATATACATATATATATATATATATATATTATATATATATATTATATATATATAGATATCATACATCAAACCCAAAGAAAAAACCTAAGATGCGAAGATGCGCCTCGATGCGTCGCTCGAAGGCTTGTTTTGCCTCCGGGAATTCCTTGGCATCGTAGCAGTCCGGCTGCGCGGAGGCTGGCCAATGCCCCGGCCTCCGGCAGAAATCCCCAAGCTGGAGGGATGAAAAGGATGAAATCTCGTGAAATCCATTGAAATCCAATTCGTTTCAGATGTTTGTATCATTTCAAGGATGTTTAAATGATGTTTTGATGTTAAATTCCCATCCTCTAAGTTTCATGAGCAATAATTCCAACTGCCGCGATTTCCTCGGCCCCCGCAGTCCCGGCCTGATTTCAAGCTGATCTTTGCAGTCTGGTGGATAGAAAATCCACTTCTTTCGGCCACAAATGTTGGCCTCGTGACTCACTGGATGAGCCCCAGCGTCTCCAACAACGGTCACGGTTGAAAATTCCCAAACGATGGGGGGCAGTCTATCGGTTTTGGGAGGAGTGGAGTTTAGTTCACTCGCATCCAACAGTCAACTGTCCTGAGTATGTTGAAAAAATGGCAAATTTTGCCGTGTATTTTAGACAGCAAGCAGGGTTTCATCAATGTAATTTCTGGGTCGTCTCTACGTTAACAAAACAACTCAAATGGAGTCTTGGGTTCACGTTTGTGGACACATCCAACCTGTACTTCTGAATGCCATCACACCTACCGACTCACGACACTTTCAGCGCCGAGCGACAGACCAGGAGTGTGACAAGAGCACATCGTGGTGCAACTTTGTGCGGGTGCCCCTTAGACGGTAGACGCAACATTGGCAGCGAAGTATCTCCTTCAAATCTGTGCCAAAATCACGTGGGAAGTTGCATCCAAGGATGCCACCCAAAGAAAAATGCTGAAGACTGCAAGTTTCAAACCCGGACATACCCGGAAATTGCCTTGACATGGGCTGAGACACTTCCCCGTTGTCTTCTTTAGGCGCTACCATCCCTACCTATCTCTCCCCGCCGTCTCTGAGTCCCCATACGTCCCTATGATTCTTGTAAATGTAAATAAAAAATGCAGATATTACCCATGGCAACCCCGCAAGAAAGCAGAACAACCTCAGTCCAACCATTTTTTAGGGGGTACTGCAGTATGTATCACACAACTCCTAATTAGTTTGTAAGCGCATTATATCGCAAAGGTCATCTCGTTGAGATCCCAAGGCCAAGGCTGCTACCTCACTTTTTGTTGCAAAATGTTCGTATCTTTGGGTGCCAATGTTGCAAGGATGGAAACTGGGAAATGAATAGCCAACAAAACTAAAACATACTAAAACATACTACACAAACATCAAGCAACATCAAACAACATCAAACATCAAGCAACATCAAGCAACATCAAGCAACGTCAACCCAAAACTTTCAACTTAAACCCTCAAGCATATCAAGACCATGAATCTTCGCGCCAACGTAGCAATACCGATAGTCCTGGCCAGTGGGCCGGCGGCCCGCCAGACTTTCAGAAGATTGTGATCAAGTCATCCGAGACATCCCAGAAATGGCAAATACCAACTTCAGACCCAAATGAAATGCCGGATTTGGGGTCCACAAATTTTGGAATCTATCCAGATAGTCTAGGCCTGCCACCCGTCAAAAGACGCACTATGGATTCAGTTTGTTCAAAGACATGGTTCACAAATCGGCAATTCATTACCTAAAATCTAGCGGTCCGTCATGATTTCCCCCGTTAAAATTGCAATCAACTGGGGCATACTTTGTTCTGAAAGCCATACTGTTTGGGGTGGCAGTTGGAGTGGTAAATGTGCTTCACTGGTGCTCTAGCCACCATAAGTTGAGAGTTTTAATATGTTTTAGTCCCTGTATGACAACAAATGCCCACATATTATCTGGAACTGCACCCTTCAAAATATGATGGTTGATTCGAACATTGTTACATGGGAGTTCCCTAAAATGGGGGTACCCCCAAATCATCCAAGTCATTGGACCATTTTAGCATTGAAACCGATGGTGACTTGGGGATCCCCCCATTTTAAGAAACACCCATATAGTAGTAGTAGTAGTAGTAATTAATATGTTCCTCTAAGAAAAAACCCGTTCAGCCGAGATCTCCCAAGATATTTGGACAATCCCATGAACATTACCTTCACCATGTTCAGGGCATCCCCTATCCCCATCATTTACATCATAGTGGCTGGCAAACCTCAAGTGACAAGCCTCAGGGTACCCTACTTTGTCCCCACTGACCTGGGTTGTGTACCCTCTGGTAAGCTAACATAGCTATTGAAAATCACCATTTTTCATGGGAAAACTCACTATAAATGGTGATTTTCCATAGCTTTTTGTATATTTACCAGGCCGGGTATGTTATGTACCCATCATTCAACGGTGAACTCCTGTGGTTTGGCCGAAGCCCAGGAAATCCGAACATCAAGGAGAGGCACCTCTAGAATTTCGAAGCACCCGGCTCCAACCCACCTCTTGACCAATGGTTGAATCATGAATGGCTAACTCAACCAAAGGTTAGCTGATGGTTCAGGTCGGTGCTTTGGATTAGGTGCCTCACTCCAGAAGTTTCAGCATGCCCGAAAACCTGGAAAACCCAATGCCATAGTGAAAATCCCCCCATGCGGAACGCTGGGAATTTCAAATTGCGCCCCAAAACCATCACTACATCCCTGCTTGAGTTAACCACCCCTTTCCCCAAAAAAACACTCCGCTGTTGCTCCGGTTGTCGCCTCCTCCGGCTTTGACTGCTGCTTGAAGTCATTCAGCCAGTCATGGAGCGGGGCACTCAGGAAGTCCGGCGCCTCATAAGGCACCTGCCCAGCGAGACGAGGCACAGCCATTTCAGGAACCTGAATTGGAGGCACCTACCACAGATAAGGTCTATGTAAGGGCTTCCGTAAGGGGATATAACTTGCAAAATATGGCTTTACATGGTGTAACTCCTGTTTAGGTACCTAAACTGGCGAAACATGGGAGTTTGCCCGAATCCCCGGCTACAAGCTTAAATCCAAATGGGATGAATGGTAAACCCCTCTACTCATCTAATCCCAAAGAGGCTCAAAATCTAGGCGTATGGCTACAAACCATCCAATGAACCAGCGGCAATGGTGTTTTTGAAGCAGCACAACTGAGGTTTTGAGCACTTTTATCAGAGAATAATGCGGCGTTATCTCTCAGGACTTAATCAGCAGAAAGGTGGCTTTGAGCAGAAAAAGTGAAGGTGTTAAACCAGCAACACTGTGGGATACCTTTGGCACTCCCAATGGTAAGGTGCATGTTTGAGCCTTTCACGACATGATCACACTTCTCCATGGCGCGAAAATCACCTATTTGAAGCAACACCAAAACCTAGGTCTACCCCGCGCTACCCGATCCTGATAATGACTACAACAATGCTATAATATATATATATATGATATTAATATCATTGCTGTCATTATCACAAGTCAACGCCTCGGATGATGACCACTATTGATTATGTTTAGAGACGTCATCGTTTTGATTACGGTTTTTGTTGTAATCACATGTAATCACTACTACTCATCATCAATGACACTGTGAATCGTTACTATCGGTCAATATTGGCAGTCATGCGGTAAAGATGTAAACGATTGCAGTTCCACCAATAAGCGGTCACCAATTTACCAAAAGTGACCAACATAGCAACTTAAATCACTTAAATATATGTACATTAAATAAATAAATAAATATATATATATGCACATATATATATGTGTATATATATATACACATGTGTGTGTGTGCGTGTAACCCCCGAAAGTGGTTTATCGCATTAGGTTCCCCATATTTAGTTGCATACTAACCCCAGAAAATGATCCAAAAGTTCTACAATTGTCTTCGTGGGGTTCCTTCTGGGGTTGCAGCAGTGCAAGGCGTAAAACCATCCAGTAAACTACGAGTAACATCGCTATGCAAAATCAGCCTTTCAAGTGGGTCAACACCTATGAATTGACCATGATTTACCGCATTTAGGAGAATCAACCTCCATTCTCCATTAGCCAGCTGTTTTAGGGTACCTAGTCCCGTACCTAACCTAGTCCCAGGGATCCAAAGGACCGAGGCAAACCAGCTGGCAGATATGTACTGGCGGCACCTCCGTCTGCGCCGTCTTGCAGGCCTGAACGAAGTGCCAATCCTTCAAGTAGAGATGTTCGCAGCCTGGACGTCGTGGCGACTGCGAGCCCAAAAAGAAAAGCAGTAAGTCGTGCCCCAAGGGACCTATGTTCATTTGTTAATTTACTAAAATATTTACCCTCTGGTGAACTAACATAGCAATGGAAAATGGCCATTTATAGTGAGTTTTCCCATGAAAAATGGTGATTTTCCATTGCTATGTTAGTTCACCAGAGGGTACTAAATATGCATAAATAAATACAAATATGCTATCCGCCGATCCCACGGAATCCATCGCCTTGATCTTGCTCCAAGCATCGAAGGAAGGACGCCACATTCCAGGTCTCCTGTGCTGGGCCCAGGGATGTTAGGTTCGCTTTGCGGAACAGGTTGATAATGGATGTGCCCATGAAATATCATGAAATACTGGATGTTTGGTTTATCCCATGTGAAAAATTTGAGGTTTTGACTTTGACATGACATTTTAAGTATCTCTTTCGTGGGTGTTCTTCCCTTCCGTGGGACTGGGGTATCATGCTTCATTCTGTCCGTATGGTTCCTTCCTTTCCCATCCCTACTTGGAGGGTCATACCACAAATCGTAAATGGCTAATGAATGCTAATGACCCCAGGTCGGTAGCCTCACTTTGGGGGCATCCCATTATACATTCAGATTGCTTTTTTTGGGACTAAACCGACATGTTTGGCCAGAGCTGGAAAAGGCCGAGCCGCTCTTGACGAAACTTGCTGATTTAACACGACAGATTAACCTGAATTTTAAATACTTCCAAAAAATGATTCCAAATTCACATCACCATCGGGGTTCAATTCCTACAGTTCGACAAGAACTAGTGTCAATTGGATTCGCAGTGCCTGCTACAAACTGGCAGCATCCCAAGATTCTGCTTCTGCCCACACATCAATGCTCCAACATGTGTCCAGCCCTTCCGCACTTCAGTTTTTCCATGTTTTTCCAAAATTGAGCCTGCAAGACTGAGATCCAACCCAAGTTGGAGGTAAAATCAGGCTCATTCAGCAGGCTTTTCTCCATTCAGCCTGAAATTCTAGAGTGTTGAAGTTTTGAAGTGTGTAATAAGCATGGTGACTAACCACTCGCCGGATCCAGATCCGCCTCCGCCCCGCCTGTTGGTCGTTCTCGCAGTTCACCACCGGACCGTCGCATTTCTCGAAGTCCTCCGCCATCTGTGCCAGCTTCGGCTGGCCGTCTTCGTCGCGCCAAAGACGCCAGCAGGGCCATTTCTGGACCGCCTCCTTGGGGTGGGTCCAGGAGGGAGGGAACAAAATTGAGGAAATTTAGGGAAGCATTGTCCTTCTCATTTCATGGTGTTTTACCTTGTTTCACTATGTTCTACTATGTTCTACTGATCTGCAAATCGGGCCCATCATCGTGGCGGGTGAGAGCCTTCAACAACTGGGGGAAGGCCCCCAGCAGCAGGGAGTCCAGGCTTTTGGAGCCATGGCACCTGACCATGTTTAGTACTAAGATACTCACTCAGGTATCAACTGTCAACTGGATGATCCTGACGGGGATAACATGAGATAACTATAAACATTCCACATCATTCAACCAACAATCCAGTGAGAAATCCAGTGAAAAACTTCCCAGCTAAGCTTCCAAGAGCACCACCGGACGGTTTGCCACAGCATAGTGCTCCAGAAAAAGCAGCGGCGTTAAATCGTTCCTGAGCGTCTGGCCAGTTGGCCATCCCTTAAATTGGGGCGTAGTCATAAGGATTTTAAGATTTGATAAGATTTTATGGGAATCATGACCGGAAACCCCTCCGGCAATTTAAAGTAGCATGGAAACCATGGTCCGCTTAGTTCGATGATTTACCTATACAAATGCCCACATTTCCCTATCTTAACTTACCGGAGGGTATTGTAGACAGCCAAGAGGGGTCCACAAATAAATGAATCCACGACTTAACTCTTTAAGGTTTCTACGGGGTATGAAACTGGATGTTACTGGTAGGTGGAAGGGATTGTTTGGATGTAAAACCATGAGGCCGGCAACAGTACAGGTTTTGACCATCGTTATGAAAGGACTTCTAATGGTTTTGCTCCCATAAGAATGAGATAACGCACTGGAAAAACTTAGGCACCAGAGTTGCCTGATACACCCACTTACCATTTTCGATTCAAGTGAATCCCCGGAAATTTGGCTGGTTTGGGATTGAATGCCATGAAAAACCCCCGCTGAAATAGGCGGTCCAAAGGAACTGAAACCCCAAGTCACCTACATTGGTCTGTGACACCCAACCATGCAAGATGCCAACACCAACGGCAATGCGCCTTGCACAATTTGAGGAAACCCACCTTCCCCCCTTGTGCTGCACCAGGGAACACGCTCACGCGTTCGAGTTCCCTACTCATGGCAGCCGGCAACAGTGGGGAAGCGGGAATTGAAATCCAATGTCGGTGATGTTTCATCTGCACCATGGCAAGATATCTTACAGTGATGCAGCTGCATTTATCAGCTGGATGTGAGACCGTGTTCGTTGCCAATTTGTTTGTTTCCATTGATTTGTGCGCCATTGGCGGCCAAACAAACTTCTGCACAGATTGTTGGTTGCTTCTTGGGGTTTGTCACAATCTGTTGGCAATCAATATTAAAAAACTATGATCTATAATAATATATACATAATAGTTATTATATTATGGGTTGAACGCTCGTGATGGATGATAAAAATCTGCAGTCGTGGAATCAACGGCCTGCGCGTTGTCCCCTGAATCACTGAACAAGGGGCCCAGGCCTATAGAATTGGAATTTTGTGAAAGGAAACATGTTATCCCGGCACGAGAACCCAAACAGTGCGCAATGATCATTCCAAAGGGAAAGTTGGAAAGGATCCAAAAACATCAGTGGCTCCAACCTAGCAGGACAAGAGCAACCCTAGTAGTGAAACATGGTGTTCATTCAAGGTGGTATCTGGAAGAACTGATGCCGGGCTAGATTCTGCAAAGATCTCTGTAGAAGATCATGCGCAAGATTTCCTTGAAAGGTTCTCTCTGGAAGCTGCTGTGCGAGATCCCTTTGTAACGCTATCTGCGCAAGGTGTCTATACGAGATCTCCACAGAAGATCTCTGTACGAGATCTCAAACTAACAAGCTCCCTAGAATAGGTCTCTTGGCAAGACCTCTTTATGAGATCTCTGTAGAAGCTCTCTATAAGAGCTCTCTTGGCAAGATCTATGTAAGAGACCTCTTGGCAAGATCTCTGCAACAGATCTCTATGGAATGTCTCTGCACAAGAACTCCATAAGAGGTGTCCTGGCAAGATCTCCTTAACAGGTCTCTTGGCAAGATCTCTGTAAGGGACCTCTCAGCAAGATCTCCGCGCAGATCTCTTTGCAATGTCTCTGTGCAAGATCTCTATGAGGTCTCGTGAAGAGCTCTCTGTACAAGTTCGCTAAAAAATACTATTAAGAGAGGTCTCTTGGCAAGATCTGTTTCAGAGATCTCTGCACAAGCTCTCTACAAGACCTGTCTTGGCAAGATCTCTGACCTCTGTACAAGATCTCTATAAGAGGTCTCCGTGGCAAGATCTCCGCGCAAGCTCTCTAAAAACGACATCCTTGTCAAGATCTCTGTGCAAGATCTCCTTGACTATCAAAATGAGCACCGCGCCACAACGAGAGCGATCTGGCCCAAAGTGCTGAGAAGGTTGCGCAAGCGATCTCAAACTGAGCACCGCACCACAGCGAGAGCGATCTGACACGCGGTTGCGCGAGCACATGTTGGAATTTCACAAACATTGCGCCCATCACGAAAAATCAACATTGAACATGTCAAAAGCGATTTTACCTAGGTTTCGGGCACTTGTTTACAGGTCTAAAAGTATTGCGCATGCCGCGAACAATGAGCCCGAGGCATCCGAAGTGCCGCACCTGCCACACGGAATCATTATCGTGTCCAAACCCAAAATGACGACAAAAACGAAACTGTCGACCCTTTCTCAACATTGTCCAAGTTCACCAAATACGGCGCCTCCCACACGAAATGACCCTCAAAACCATCTGCACCTGTCACGCAAACGACGTTTTAGACCTCAAAACGTCCCGAAAGTCAGAATGGACATAGCTCAAAAAACGAGCCCAGCGCGCTAGAAAAAACGAGACCTTCCGAAGAGAGGTCTCCATGGACACCATTCGTGTGAGGCTTCCTTCGAAAACGGAAGATGAAGGAACTTTTGTGCTGTAAGGATCACCAAATTTGCCGGTCACGGATCCCAAGCCCAAGTTTCTTGCGAGACTTCCGTCAAAAACGGAAGGTGAAGGAGCTTTTGCGCTATCTTCCGTCAAAAAACGGAAATTGAAGGAGCTTTTGTGCTGTAAGGGTCACCACATTTGCCGGACACGGATGAGACCACCTCGCACTGATACCCCCGCCTTAACCCATACTGTAAGAACCCCAAGTGTGGCCACTGTGTTTGGGGAACCATAAAAAACCACTGATGGGTGAAATTTGGTGGGTTACTATACTAGCTGGCTTATTAACAGGAATATTTACTAACCAACCAGATCAACAAGTATACTACTGGGACGGGATAGTTGTGTTCATTGCTTATATAATTGCAGTACATCCCAAAAATTGAAGCAACATGAAGCAACCACATACTGTATCCTGTTGAAAGGGTGGCAACTCGCGACCGCACCTTTTTCATCTTAAAAAGCCAGCCTTGATCACTAAAACCACTGCAAGGGGAAAGAAAACAATAATATACAATAATTATAATAATTATATATACATAATTATACATATACAGCACGCGTTCAGACGGCGTGCCTTCTTGCAGCGCACATTGTGCGTCATAGTGCGTTTACGTGAGGCTCGGCATTCTTGCCGCCAAAATCCTCAACTCATTGACACATATTGACACATATTGACACATATTGACACATATTGACACATATTGACACATATTGACATTACGCACACCTTACCTTGGTCCAGATGGGCCACCAAATCCGCTGGACGGGCCGCTAGATCCACCGGACCTTGTGGGTGCAGAGCCAGATGACCCATCATCTGGGAGGCTGCCACTCCCACAGCCGCTCAGTGAATTCAAAGGACATCTCCTATCCTGGTCCGTGAGGTCATCCGTGATGGGCGTCGCCATGCATCCACAGGTGACCGGGCAGTAAAAAGCCAAGGTGTTGAAACCCCAGTCGAACAATGGACCCCATTGGAACCTCTGGTTGAGCTGCCATTTGAGAAAAAATCACATTACAGCATATGTTTTGTTGGGGGCTTTGAGGCTGTGATCCCATTTTTCTTGGGGAATGGCACAAAACTGGATTCATCTGGAAACCTTATGAAACCTTCACCCCAAAAAAAAAGTCCTTGAAACCCAGCCACAATCGCCCCAGGAGATGTTATTGCTGGTGATGTGGAACTTGAATTCGTAGCCATAGTCCCTATGATTCGCCAGTACCTCTGCCTGCATCTGATTGTTGTACTCCATCCCAGTCACCTGGGATGGAAGATGCTGAGGTCCTCAACCCCAAGGAGTGAAGTTCCGCGGAGGCGTTCATCTCGCAGGTGTCGCGGTGCACAAGGCAGGGGCTGGGCTACGGATTCTTGGTCCAATTGAACATGGTGGATTTGCGATTTCTTCGTGCATGAATTAAGGCAGGCGCACGGAGTTTCAAGTAAAATGGGCTTTGAAGGGCCACATATGAACTTTGTAAATGTGCAACACCGGCCCAGCCACGAAAAAAAAACACCATCGCCTTAGGCGCCCCTTCCGCGACATTTTTTCTTTTCGACTACTCCTGGCTCTCGCGGATCAAATACTCTTGCAGCATCCGAATGGTAGGATAGTCGAAGACCTGGGCAGGTCTAACATGGTCTAACTCACTAGTTCATGTTTTTGCTGGAGGTATATCTGGTAAAATTGACCTGAGCAAGATTTACTATGAGGGTTGAGGCTGCCATAACTTGGCAAAGTGCCGCAAGACATGGGCTATCCCTCCCAACTAAGAATCTATAAAGAGCACAAACATAACCACATCCTCAATCACCCTCACTATGATGCGCATTGATCCTCGCCATTCCAGACTCATGATGATCACTAATGCTCATACATGTACCACGGTCAAAACATGTCAAAGCATGGTACCGTATAATTCTATACATGGGGCCCCTGGTCATCCCACCATCATTAGCCCTCAGGATCCCCTTGTACCCTCTGGTCTGGAAATCAAACGTGGCAATGGAAAATCCCCTGTAAATCGACGTTTTAATGGGAACATTCGCTATTCATGGGAGATTTTCCAGCCATGGTTATCATGTTTGATTCCCAAAGGATACCAGAGGGATCCAGAGGATATATTAACAGATTAACAGCTAATGTTGGTAAAACAAGGTAAAACAATAATAAACCACCCCCAATTTCACCATTTTTATAGGTGGTATGTTTACCATTCCCCGTCATGGCTGGTAAAAATGGCATTGTTTTACCACCCCGTCACTAGCTTTGGGGGCGATCGCCCGTCCTCACCGTCCCCATCGTCCCCAGCCCGGCTCGTGGAGCCCCAGGAGCCACGGAGGGAGTCAGCGCTGTTTGAAAGTCGCGATTCAGCATGCTGACCAAGGACACCCCCGAGAGGCTGTCCATCCCCGCGTCAATGAAGGCGGTATCTAGCTCCACCTGAGTCCCAACTTCAGATGTGGCCAATCGAAGATACATGAATAAAGTAAATGTATGTATATGTTTATGTATATATAACATAGTTTATAGAGCTAACTTGGGGATGGGGAAAAAGAGAGTTGAGAAAGGAATTTTGATCACTCTGGCGCAACCAACCAAATCAACCGGTGAGCCTGGCTCACATCACAACATCAACCCCATCGAATTCCCCCAAATCATCCCAAATCTCTGCATAACCACCCATCAACCTTCACCATCTCTCCATATTCATCTCCCTTCCCATATCTTCCCATATCTTTCCCCCCTCCATCTCCATCCATCTCCATTTCTATGGCCTCTTCAGTTCCAGACGTCAACTCCTTCACAAAACCAATCAGCTGCCGTCCCACCTTGGATGTTGCCAACTCTTGCCAAACAAATGGATCACCCCATTTCTGGTTGATGAAAATACCCTCTGGTAAACTAACATAGCGAACTGGAAAATCACTGGTTTTAATGGGAAAATCCACTATTTCTATGGCCATTTTCAATAGCTTTTTGTATGTTTACCAGAGGGTATTGAAGCATTTTTCCCAGTGGCACCTCCTCGGGTTTCAGGCTTCCCTTGCCGCTGACGACCCCTGAGGACGCCTCCGCCCGACTGGGCGCGTCTTCCGGACTCGCTGCAGCCGCTGGACCCGGCGCTGAGGGGGTCTCCGGAGCTGGAGGTGGCTCCTTTGAGGCCAGAAACCCAAGTGAAGAGACCATTTTCATCGGAACACTATGGGAAAATATGGGAAAATGAAAGAACATGATGATACACCGTGGGATTTTTTGGGGTACCTCAATATTTGGGTACCCCAACATAAACATACATAAACCATCATAAACCCTATGTTTTTTGGCTGCAAGAAAGCTGGAGCGTTGGTTTAATTCTGTCAGTAGGGGTGGCGATGGCGTTTCCATTTCTCAGGGAAAGAAAGCTTTGGAACGGTTATGTAGCGAAGCGTATGGAGGTCACTCGTCTCAGGATCAATGTGCTGCAAACTGTTTGGGGTTCCGTCCGGTGCTGAGTTCTAGAGGTCTTCTTAGCCAAAAAGGTCTTCTATAGATGACAGGTGTATCATTCAAGTGCTGTTCTCAACCAAGAAACCTCAACAGATCAACTTTCCAGGCAGTTGGGCGCTCCAAACTCTCGTTTTTTTTAACTCATTTCTTTGTGAATGAACTCCCTGTTCTATCCCAGTCTTGTTGGTTGAACTCCCAGAAGTGATGCCTCTCCACTTAGTAACAGCTCGGTCCTTTTTGCTCAGCGAGTCTTTGAAGTTTTGAACTTCCACCTGACATCATCCCACCAACGAAAAATCAGGGGTAGAACTTTGCGGGTGCATCCTATTAAATAATGTTAACAATGTTCAACATCTTGGTTTTAGCAGAAATAAGAATTGATTGCCCAATATTACCTGGTAGAATGGGTGTTCTTAGCAAAAAAATCCCCTGTATGACCTGGTAAATGATGGTAATGTGGTTAAAACAATGCCATTTGCACCATCCCCAAGTCATCACCATTTTTATAGCTGGTATGCTTACCATTCCCAGTCATAGCTGGTAAAAATATGTAAAAATGGCATTGTTTTACCCACATGAAATGAACATAGCTGTGGCAGCTGTGGCAGCTGTGGCAGCTATGGGAACTGACCGTGACTTTCCCAAGGGGCCATCCATCGACCCCACCTCGGCATCCAAGTCCCCACAGCTGGCCGCTAAGTGCTGTGCCGTGCTGGCGGCATCCAAGGCCTCCTCGCGGGAACCTACGTGACAAAACAAAAGGAAGATCGTTGGGCCAAAGGACTAGAATTGATCAGGGTCAATATACGTATGTTAATATGGTCTACTGTGGTTGAATGTGGTGTAATACGCTTCACAAGGGGCTTAATTTGGGCTTAATGTCGTTTAATGTGGTTGAAATAAGGTTGAATGATTTGAAAGAATCAAAATTGATTCTTTGATATGGTGGATATGGTTAAGTATGGTTTAACCATCCTGAAATGGGTATAATATAGCCAATGACAGCCAATATAATATATTAAATACATTTAAATACCCTCCCAGATGGAGAGATCCAATATTGAACCAGGGCTTTTGAGGTGGTATTTAACATTGAGAGGAATGGATCAATTCAACATCGCCATTGCAAAAATGACCCATTTGTAGATGATTTACCTATTAAAACTTCCATGACCATGGCCACCATGGCCATGTTGGATTACAAGGGAGTAATCACCATGGATTATTGGGGTATAACATCAACAGTAAACAGGTGTCTCTGAGAGTGTGGATAATGAGCTTTAAAAGGAAGTGAAATGAAAAGACAGGATTCAGAATCCATGTCATTTGATGCACGCTTAAAAGTAGGCTAAATTCTACCTGAACGTTCCTGAAATGTCCTGAAATGTTCGCTTGGGGTGGATGTTGTCACCCATAATTTCTGAAAGTGGGGGTCGGTGATGCATCGCTCACCTTGATACTCCCGCCTTGGGCAAAGAGCAGCTGTGCAATCATCAGCCAGCATCGCGCCTGGGCGGTGTGTGGATGAAACTGACAGTGCGTGTTGTTTGTGGTGGTGCTTTCCAGTTGTCATGTTTCTTTAATCACCTCAAGCTAGACTCAAACACACAATTTTTAGAAACAAAATACATCAAAAAACGACAACTCACCTGGTTCTGTTGAACCACGACAGATGAGTCAGATTTACAACCGCCAAACGAGAAGACATGTACCAAATCACCTGGCGCCTCGCTGGCTTTGTGCTCCAACTTGATGCAAAGATCCCGGGCTTCTCGGGCAAAGCTCAGGCCAGAGCCTGGATCCAGGCGGAGGTTTCATGAAAGAAGCCACGTTTAGTGCTTCTTGGGCTGCTCGTTTCTGACTTGGCACGGCTTATATAATGAGAAGCTATGAGAAGCTATGAGAAGGTTGAAGCTCAGAAATGAGCCTCTGCTTCATCATCTCCAGCCAAAAAGACAGATGAAGAGTCAAACACATTGGACTAATAAGCTTCACTTCGCGAACAAAAATTGAACGGTATATATATATATGTGTGTGTGTGTATGTGTATATATATATATACATACGTATAGCTGCTAGCTAAACAGATTTGGTGATTGATCTAAACTACTTCATCCGGAAACATGCCAAGCAGCTGGGCCGCCCCAAGATACCCCAGACATATGCGCGCCAGTACAAGGCCAGCGCTCTAAGGCTTTGGTCACCCACCTGCTGGCGAATTGATCAAACTGGTTGGCGAATTGGTCATCCACCATTTATATCTGATGTTCCCATGATATAAGTCGATCATAGTCGATCATTTATAGGATATTTTCCCATTAAATCCATGATTTATAGGAGATTATCGCAGCTATAAACGTCCATTTGTCATCATGTATAGGCGGTTTTCCAGTGAAAACATGTGAAAACCTACATTTATAGGTTATGTTCCATGATTTTCCCATTAAATTATCCATTTAGTTTGATGGATTCTCCCATTTAGTTCGGGGATTTTCCAGCTAGTCACGTTTGATTACAGGAGGGGGTAGAGATACATGTAAAAATTGGATGCTCTTTCAATTTTAAACAATCTAACGAATAAAAAATGCAGCTTCATGAAACTTCCCTTAAAGTTCCAATTCAAAAAGCTGCTGAATCTGGCGCCATGTGTAAGTCGTTGAAAAAATTACAGGAACCCCCAATGTGTTGATGGGGAAAACCAAGGTTTCCTGAGTTTCCTGTAGATGTTTCCTTCCAAAGAATCTGACCATGGAATCTGACCATGGCGCGCCTTCCCCGCCACCGCCAAGGCTTCGGCTGACCAGCGCAGCAGCTTACGCCGCGCAGCAGCTTCCTCAACCAAAAAACCTCCCCACCACGTACGAAATCATAAAAACGTCTATGCAAATCCATCCGTACAATCTCCATTTAGAGCCAAAAAAAACATATGATGTGTGTATACGCTTGGATATAAGCTTGTCGGTTCATATGTTAATGACCAATTTCGTTGTAGTCATAGTTATATTTATTCATCTTCGCACTGTTTGAAACAGATCTGACATGTGAACATTGGATTTAACCCAACAGAATGCCAGAATGCTTCCATTTTAACCCAACATTGACTTGCCCCCCGGTAATTTAATGTAGCTATGGAAGCCATGGCAAATTTAGTTCGATGACTTTCCTGTTTAAAATTGTGATTTTCCATAGCAAACTGTTAAAGTACCGCAGAGTAAGTCAACTGAATTGATCTCTTCAATTGATATTTTTCATCTGTCCCTATTTGGCTAGTCAAAACCCTGGTACCCTACCCTTTAAAAACAGCTGGTGAATGCATGTTTATTCCATATGGAGGTGTCCTAAAATGTAGCTACCCCATTTTAATCATCCAAATCATTAGGATTACCATTCTTAAATAGTCTAAAAATTAATATCTTAACCCAGGGTTTCAAATGTTTCAAGTTGATATCCCCCATATTTTACATCATTTTTACATCCAAAAATCTGGACCCATCAGCTCCTCCAGTGGCTCCACCACGGTCAGCTCCACCAGCAGCAGCAGCAGCTCCACCCGCAGCGGCCGTTGCCGCGGCTCGTTGCCGCGGCTCAGCTGCAGCCCCTCCAGCGCCGTGGCCGTGGCGTCGCCGCTGCCCAGGGCCAGGTGGAGCCGGGAGACGCTCAGCAGGGCCTGCGCCTGATGTGGAGATGGAAAGGGATCCACCAAAAATGGAGAAAAAATGCGTTTTTTAATGTAGGGATTAAGGTGTTTTGATGTGTTTTAATGAGAAGAGTTGGGGGTGCTGGATGATGTATGAAGAATGTGCGAGAGGTCAAATGTGATAAATATGAGTCATCTTGGATTTTCAGGGGAAGAAGTGGCCATCCACCAAAGCATCGACCCTGCAATGACTTGGGGGTTGGAAGACTAGATTCCTCTAAAAGGTCGTGATTCTCCGGGTCGATGTTAGTTGGGGGTGATCAAACATCTAACTTGGTTTGCTTGTGGTGTGTGAATGTTTATGTTAGATGGTTAGACTGGTAAACCAACTTAAAACTGCTTGGAGGTGAGAAGAAAAGATATGGACAGTGATGGGATACACATGGATGCATGGTGTGAGATACTGATAAGTCATGGAAAATCTGAAGGTATGGGTGTGTCTTAAAATGGGGTATACCCCAAAATGGCTGTTCAAAAATTGGGATAATGATGATCAACCAATCAGTTAAGGGGTAGATAGGGGTCGCCATATCAGCTCATCATCCCATCACTCATGGCTCGTATCAATGGCTTGGTTTTGTTGGGAAAATCTTCACCGGAAACCATCGCTATTTTCCCATCTTCAGATCATGGGGGGTTCGAAGATCATGATGATCATGGGGGGATCCTGTTTCAATTTTCCAGTACCATCTGGTTATTTAACATAGCCATGGAAAATCCACCCATTTTTAATAGGTAAACCATCACAAACCATCTAATAAATGGGCCATCTATACCATGGCTATGTTAGTCATAACCAGAGGGTAAATTTTCCCCTAAAAAACCCCATCCAATGAAAATTTAGGACTCGCTATCGTCGAAGCGCCTCCAAGTGCAAGTCCCCAAGGCCGCGGACGATGCGAAGACCTGAGCCATCCAGGGGGGGATCCCATTCCTCAATGGATTGGTTGAAAATCTTCACCGGAAAGCCATGGCTTTTTACCATCAACACATTGGGCTTTCCGGTGAAAATTGTCCCAAAAACATCCAGTTCGATGAATCCCCCAGTTTCGAAATTCTAATCACTATGAATCACTATGAATCCCATAGAGAGAGAGAGAGAGTGAAAAAACACCTGGCAATGTGATTATATACGGTTAATCACTCACTCTCTCTCTCTCTCAATAACTATTCATCAATTAATATGATACAGTGTTAGTGGTTATAACCATTACTATTATGAATAACCACCATCTTAGAGAGTTCAACAGTCCTGTTTCGTTCGGATGGGAAAATCAATTAACCACATTACCATCACTATTAGATCATCACTATGGTTATACCGTAGGCAATATGGATCAATATGGAGGTTTCCTAAAAATTTTAGGAAACCTCCATATTGATCAATAGGGCTACCCCTAAATCATCGTAGGGTTTTCCTAGGGTTTTCCATTATGAATCAACCATCAACCAATATCAACCAGCTATTGGGGTACCCCCATGACTATGGAAACCTCCAAATATGGTTACCCCATCCACCAAGCCACGTTCCTCCGCTGCCTCCAGGGCCGCCTCCAGCTGGTCCTCGGAGCGTCGCAGGTCGCTGAGGACTTTCAGGGCCTCGGCCTCCACGCGCGCCTGGGTTCGAGGCCGGGATGGGGTGCCATAAATGGAGCTACCCATACAGGATGGGGCCCATAGTTAGCTAAGTTGGTTTATAACTATAATAACAATAGTGTATGATACTTATAACTATATTTAGATGGGGTTATAAACCAACTTATAACATCTTATAACTGGGTATCCCAATAGCTGGTGATTGAACAAAGGTTCCACTATCAATGGTCGGGATGTATATTTGGATGTGCGGGTTTATCAGCCAGAAATGGTTTATGAGCCATACAGCTGGGGCTATTCCATTGATCTACCTGGGGAATCCTGGGGATACAGTACCTGGCGTATCGTATGCTCATTACCCACAAGAAATGCCTGGGTCCCAGCTCTAACCATTGCCAACAAAAAAAAACTGCCGGGACGATCCCTTGTCCAAGGTTAGTGGTTGACTAGTGTTCATTGATGCTTACGGCAAATGTAGATTCAATATATGGTTAAGTATATCACTGTAGTATATCACTGATATATCCACGATATAATGAAATATCCATATTATATATGCCTGGTTGGTGGTACGCCTACCCTTCTGAAAAATATGAGTTCGTCAGTTGGGATGATGACATTCCCAACTGAATGGAAAAATATAAAAGCCATGTTCCAAACCACCAACCAGATGCAATTTTGCTCACCATAAAAATATTGACCTTTTTGGGCTGATTCATGACCTGTTGATGGTTTATGGTGCTTTTGTGTAGTGATTCATGATGTTAATGGTAAAGTGGTAAAGCACCACTAATAACCACTAAACATCACCACATCACCATGAACTCCATCACCGTTATCCATGGGATGATCCCCCAAGACGATATCCATGGTAAGATGACCATGTTTGCTGCTGAAATGATCATCTATAGTTGGTAAATCCCACCAAAATACCATGTAAATACTCGTATATAGATTTATAGCTTCTCATGCAATTTTCATCATAAAAAGCAGCTCAAAAATGCCATATAAATAGCATTTAGAGTTGGTAAAATCCCATGAAATCCCCATGTTCCATGCTGAAATCAGCCTTTTCCCATGGTTTTCCCGATGCTTTTCGCCTCACGACACGATCCCCGGATCCCCGTTTCGGTCACGGCGCATCCGCGGACGAAAGGAGCTCAATGGCCTCGAAGACCTTCGTCGAGTCCTGCTGCACGACGGCCAGGCGCAGCAGGTCCTGGGCCTCGCCGCGGGTGTCCTGGGCTGCTGTGAAAATACCATATTTATAGGGAGGTATCATGAGGTATCATGATGTATCATGATGTATCATGAGGTATCATGAGGTATCTATAGTTATAAACTGGAGGTATCATTATCTATAGTTATAAACTGGAGGTATCATGGTTTAACATTTTCTATATTCAATGGATTGGTTTTGTTGGGAAAATCTACAGGAAACCATGGTTTTTACCATCAAATATAGAGGTTCTGAGGTTCTTGTAAATTTTCCAGTTACCCTCTGGTAAACTAACATAACTATGGAAAATCACCATGTTTAATGGGAAAAGCCACTATTTCTATGGCAATTTTCTATAGTAGGTATTATCCAAAGGGAAAGTTATATAGAAACACCCATTTATAGAGGTATCTATAGTATCTATTGCTGTGAAAATGATGAGGCATCTATACTATCAGTTAGTTATGGTATCATTTATAACTGGAACTGTAAACTGGAGGTATCATGAGGTATCTATAGTATCTATAGTCATGGTATCTTGAAAGATCTAACTTTTCTGTATCATAAAGATTGTTGATTTAATTGTATCCGATTGTTGAATTCTAGTTGTATCCTTGTAAAATGGTTGAGTTAGTATCTGTACTAATGTTGTTCCCAAGTACGAACCTCCAGTGAGTTCGGAGATATGAGAATTGCCACGATTGATTAGATTTGATTGGATAAAGTTGGTATCTTAAGGAATTGGTGTCTCATATGCATTCTAGTCATATCCCCATAAATTGGTTGATTTTATACCCCATTTATCCCAATTACCCTCTGGTAATCAAACATGACTAGTTCGATGATTTCCCAGCGAACTAAACCTCCATTTAGTTCGGCAATTTTCCATTGCCATGGAAGGAATTTATGGCGGCGGGATCACCCCCAATACCCTGATATATTATGGGATAGGAATATCTTTAGTGATTAGGTTATTTTATATTAAGTTTTTTAAGGGGATGGAATCGTTTTTCCTAGTCAGAAGATTTATGTAGATGTCCCTTTCTGACCTTTTCTGACTGGCATTTTTTGATGTCCTTTTGAAGGCTGTGTTGATATCTTAAATTTTACTAGTGGTTGGGGACAATTTCTTGCAGGTTTACAGTTCAAGTTTCACCTTGACCTTTACGATATGTTTGAAAGCGATCGGTGGTATCGTCTTTGGCGGGATATCATTTAAAACCTGTTTTTGATATACATATGTATATAATTGTATGTATGTGTATATATATATATATGATATGTGTGTGTGTGTCTGTGCGCGTGTGTGTGTGTGCGTGTATGTATGTCTGTGCGTGCGTATGCGTATATATATATAATTGTATATATATATATATGTGCCGCGAGGGCAGCGGCGATTGGTCTCACGCGGGATGGCGTCTGGGCTACGACCTACCTCAAAGAGTACCCACCGGCGCTATGCGCTGGACTTGCGCATGGTTTTTGTAAGACCCTACAGCAACACGCTGTGGATGAGTCTGTTGTGACGAAAAGCGATTTTGTCAAGCGGGCCCATAGTATGATCGTACAGAACTATGGGGATTTCACCGGCCCAGACTTCGCGAAGTAGTCACGTGTCACAGAATGCAACGCTTGGCCGCAGCTCACGCTACATTGTGCCATGTGGAAAATATATATATGTACATACATATATTATAGTTGTCATGTCATGTTACTAGTGCCGTGTTTCGCGGGTAGATTTGTATGCAGGACCCCCAACATGGCCCACATCCAAAGCATCAAACTGGAGACGCTGCCAAGCGTCGCCAGATGCCTTGGCTACGGCCCGAGCGTCCTCTGCAGCGCTTCTGGCGGCCTTTTTTTCAAAGTTCATCCGAGGCTCAGTGGGACAAAATGGGAAGGTTCAGGGCTCCAGTGCACCATAGAGATCTCACCAAAATGATGTGGTTTAATCATGTTAATCAGCAGCAAAACTTGGTTGGTGGTTCCTTGACCCAAAAGAAAACAGGCTGTGAGTCGCTTGGTGCCCAATACTGCTGGATCCAGGCTGCTGTTTCCTGGCAAAATGTTGAGCAATAGATTCACTTACTTGGAGGTACATCAATCATTACTTCCTCAAGCTACCGCAAAGATCATGAACTGCCGAAATTACCATCAATTTTATACCATTGATTGCAATGAACCTGCTTAGTTGCCATTTCTCTCTCATCAATTTACGCCTGAATGTTCATCCAATTGCCACTAATTACCCCATCATTACTTCCGAATTTACCACCATCCATCCATCAATTTACTAAATAACCTTCTTTCTTTCTTTCGTTCTTTCTTTCCTTCTTTCCTTCCTTCCTTTCCTTTCCTTTCCTTTCCTTTCCTTTCCTTTCCTTCTTTCTTTCTTTGTTTCAGTGCTTGAACCCTGTGCACCCACGGCGGCCATTAATTATTACCATCAAATACCCCACTAATTAAGACATATTAATACTAATTACCCATGAATGTACAGTACTACCAGCCATCCTACATTAATAGGGATTCAACCAACCCCAAACCTGACACCCCAAAATAGATAGTTCATAAGCCCTTATATAAGCTCTTCATATACCATGATTGAGGCGCTCACCTTAGGCAATCCAAACTTACAATTAGTTGGTTTATTACTGACTTAGGTATGGTTTATGGTAGATACCTGGTAGATACATCGAACTCGTATTCTTTTTGGCCATAAACATCACCAACAAACACCATCCTTCTGGGCACCACGGAACCATCCCATCCCATCCGAAGTGGATCGTCCCATTAGATCCCATGGATCATCCCAGATCGTCCGAAGTGGCATATTACATAACAGTGATGAAATGACCCTATTTAAAAAATATATATATATAACATGTCATGACCCTAGTCACTACTAGTTTTTATCCGATCCCAAGATTATAAGTGGATTAATTCTATTTAATTCTCCCATTTCTGGGTTATAACTGTTATAACTGTCATATATATATAACTGTTATAAAACCCTACGGCCCTCGCCGTGGCTCCGTCCGCCACCTGCACGTCGCCCCGCTCCCAGTGGACCCGGAAGATCCTCCGCAAGGCGAGCGCCTCCCCGCGCCGGTCCGTCTCGGCGCGGGCCGCGCGCAGCGCGGCGCCTCGTGGCCGGGAACCGCCGTGCTGCCCAAAATCCACGAGACATGGAGGTTTATAGCTGGGAAATCTGCTAGAAATGAAGGGGTTTAATATGGTTTAATGAAAAATCCTCTATAAATTGATGAAATTCTTCGTTCAATGATGAAATTGCTGAATTACTTAGAAAGATAGTTGGCTTGCTTTTTTTTAAAGGGGGTGCGGCCCAAAAACTTGTGAAATCAAGCGTGTGATCATCTTCCCACAAACATCACAAAGCAAAATGAAACTACACAAGAGCTCTTCCAGCTCTTTTGAATGGTTACCGCAAAGGTCATTTAAACATATAGTTCAACTTATTTGAACGCTTTTAAGATATATGGATTTTTTTAAACCCCAGATGACACTAACGGCTTGAAGCTCTTCAACGAAGTCCTTGGCTTCAATTGATCCTTCTCTAGGTAAGAGCCTTCAATCCCCAAACCAAGCAGTTTCATTTTGCTTTGCGATCTTTGTGGGAAGATGATCACAAGATTGTTTTGACAAGTTTTTGGGCCGCACCCCCCAAAAAATGTTCAAACATAGCCAAAAGAATGCAATTCCGGCACCCGGCGTGCTTGTCCCGAGACTATGGAGGGAGAATCTTGGTACAATCTTGGTATCATGATGCATCGTGTACATCCACATGTTGGTGACCCAGTGCTGAAATCCCACAAATGCCGGCATGATAGATGCCCGGCAGTCTTCGGGGTCGCTTGGACCAGCTGACCACCACTTCCAGCTTAGATACTCAGCTTTTGCAGGGCTGCTGCGGAATCGCCACCAGCAAGAAATGAGGCAGCCTGGTCCTGGGGTAAAATTGGTTCTTAACCAGTCCCCAAAAAAACATCGTAGCCCGGCATTGATTCAGGACCAGGGCGTTACATGCTAAAAAGTGATAAAATGATGGGAATAATTACAAATATTGCAAATGGTTTCAAATTGCTATTAAACAAAGCAAAACCCATCCAATTCAAACAACCCCTTCAGCCACCTCTGCTACCAGCGCGTTGGTCCTGCAAAATGCCTGCGCGCCATCCCTTCTCTGTTACAGGAGCTTCGGAAGCCGCCTGCCGGAGCAAACCACTTGGGATTTAAACATCTGGGGGAAACCATCAAGATACACTGGATCAAAACCTCACATTCCCTATGAAAATGTCTGTCTACGTATGAATCGATGATGTATTGTATACGCCGCATATGCCCATTTTCAGACACGCACCCACTTGGTGTTGTCGATAGAGAATCCCTATTCAAGGGGGCTCATACAGCCTCAATCCACCATCACATCCAGGTTGTAAATCGTCGCAGTTTCCCCATAGTTTTTCCGTTCATCCGCCCCCGGCCCCAGCCCCAACCTGCAGGGGTTCCAAGGCTCTCTCCGGTGTCCCACTGCCACTCCAACAATAGCCCTGCAACTGCAGAGCACGCGCCGCGCTGTGGGGATCGTCATCCTGTGGCCGCAGGGCAGTTGCCCAGTTATAGCGCTATATTGAAAGAAAAATACCTGGAACCGCCCCAGGAATCGGGAACTTATCAAAGTTCAAAAGTCACTATCCTACTTTACGTGGACCAAGTGCTTGGCTTTGGAAAGTCATCCCACTGATACCCACGAAAGTGGAAAGGAATCATAGTTGGCCTTGGTGATTACCAGGTTCCCCATCTGGAGTTAGTCATGTGGTGCTTCGTTAAGCCCCATGAAGTGGAAAGTAAGCATGGTTTGTGAATAGATGTGACTAGTAACTTTGGTGATGGCAAGTTGCCCGTTCCTGGAGGCGATCCTATTTCATACTCGGTGCTTAACTCCAGATACAAAGTAATATAGTTTCTCATTGAGGTAATTTTCCAAGTGCCAGTCATATTTGGGATTGCATTCCATCAAATAAAATAATCATGGCTATCTTAACTATCAGTTACTTGGATGTGTATCCCACTTGGAAATCAAGTGGCTATACACTGGATAACCTCAGTTGGCTTGTGATCTCCAACCACCGTGCCCGGCAGCCCAACCACCTTCTCAAACTGGGCTTGGAACTCCTGAGGACCCCATGGATTTGACCACGGGCCCCTGGTAGCATCATCTTTCAGTATGAAACCAGCACTTCGACCACGATGATAACCTCTTAAGATATGTATGTATGTATGTATGTATGTATGTATGTATCTATCTATCTATCTATCTATCTATCTATCTATCTTATCTATCTAATCTATCTATCTATCTATCTATCTATCTATCTATCTATGTATCTATGTATCTATGTATCTATCTATCTATCTATCTATCTATCTATCTCTCTATCTATCTATCTATCTATCTAACAAATCTAATCTGATCTGATCTGATCTAAACCAATCGAATCTAATCTAATCTAACTATCTATCTATCTATCTAATCTAATCTAATCTGCTCTAATCTAATCTAATCTGCTCTGATCTAATCTTATCTTATCTTATCTATCTATCAATATCAATATCATCAATATTATTAATGATTAATCTTATTAATATTATCTATCTTTTTTATCTTTTCTATCTTATCTATCTTATCTATCTTATCTATCTTATTTATCTTATCTATCTTATCTATCCTATCTATCTTATCTATCTTATCTATCTTATCTATCTTATCTATTTATCTATCTATCTATCTGTCTATCTATCTATCTATCTATCTCTATCTATCTATCTCTATCTATCTATCTATCTATCTATCTATCTATCTATCTATCTATCTATCTATCTATCTTATCTATCTTATCTATCTTATCTATCTTATCTATCTTATCTATCTTATCTATCTTATCTATCTATCTATCTATCTATCTATCTATCTATATATTTATCTATCTATCTATCTATCTATCTATCTATCTTATCTATCTTATCTATCTTATCTATCTTATCAATCTTATCAATCTTATGTATCCATCTATCTATCTAGCTATCTAGCTATCTAGCTATCTAGCTATCTATCTATCTATTTATCTATCTATCTATCTATCTATCTGTCTATCTGTCTATCTGTCTATCTGTCTATCTGTCTATCTGTCTATCTGTCTATCTGTCTATCTGTCTATCTGTCTATCTTATCTATCTTATCTATCTTATCTATCTTATCCATCTTATCTTATCTTACCCATCTTATCTATCTTATCTAACTTATCTATCTTATCTATCTTATCTGTCTTATCTGTCTTGTCTGTCTATCTATCTATGTATCTATCTAATCTAATGTAATCTAATCTAATCTAATCTGCTCTAATCTTATCTTATCTTATCTATCTATCTATCTTCCCATCTATCTTCCCAAGGTGCGTGGATTTCCCACCGGCCCCCGTCTCCTTCGCCAGCTTCGCGGCCTTGGGCGCCTGATTTAGGGCCACCAGCGACTCACAGAGAAAGCCCAAGGCTTTGGATTGCCAACCTGGCCGCATGGCCGCATGGCCAGGGCCCTACCTATGGCCCGGGGTCAGAAACCCATGGAAAAACCATGGAAAATGATGGAAAGATGGCACTTTGGAGTGAAAATCATTGAACATCTGCATTTTGGAGTTCATTGGAGTTGAAGTTGTACGGATCAATCCAGATGAGCCCTGAAAAACTGAAAGTCGAGTTCGATCATCCCATTCGTTGAATGGAAGATAGTATCATTGTGTATCATTGTGTGCCTATCTCAGCCAGATTGTTTGATATTTGTCTGCTGCGATTCTTGGATTGCGGGGATTTCTACATGGATGTTGGGCCATGAAGAGCCATACTTCCAGGAAATTTGCATGCGACCCGATCAGGTGCCACACTCCCGAACGAATCGTCTGTGGCTCGTGTTTGCGAAGTTCGTGTACCAAGTTCTCTACTTTGGGTAACCCAATCACCAGGCTTCCCAACCACAATTTATGGTGAAATAGCCATGGGTAAACCATTCTTGCTTCATACCCTTCACTTCCAGACATTCAATCTCATTATTATCATTCAATATTGGTGTGTTGTAATTTTTGAACATTCTCATCTTCCCATGTTCAACATCCACGTCATCTCGGCTGGCGGATCCCGGGGCCTTTGCCGTAGCCCAGCTGCTGAAAGATCCTTAGAGCCTCCTCGGAGGCCTTCAGCGCAGCAAAGAAGTCCGAGGCCTTCAGCGACCACTGCGCCACAGAGACCAACTGGGAGGCCTCCGAGGGCGGCCATGGTGCGGCCATGGCGGCCATGGGCCATGGGAAACTGATGGAAACTCCATGGGAAACTGGGCTTAAATATGTTGGGATTATGTTGGGATAAACTGGTTGATGGAAATGGATACCAAAGGCATGGTTGAACTTGAACTCAAAAGTGTTGCAATGGTTGATGGATTACAGGAAATTACAGGAATAATGATTGATGATGGGAAGACTATATAATATATAAAATCACCAGCCAGTTGGTTTGTCTTAGCAGTAGCAAAGTCGGTTTGTCTTAGCAGTAGCAAAGTCCCCCTCCAAAGACAAAATGTTGTTTACGGACAATGTTCCGTACCAAATTTAGATGCCCTGTCACGGTCTCTGATCTTCCTCCTACAATCTATTCATAGATGATTCCTTTGCGAAACCCAGCGGTTTTCACCTGATCATCGGTCAAATGGTCAAAATACGTCCAAACATTGGTACCCTCTGGTGAACCCCAAAATAGTTGATATAAATGGATGTGGATCCCACCTAAAATATCGGTACGTCATGGTATTTCAATGGATTTCATCAGTTTTGGACCGGCACCTGGCCTGCATCTTCCGATCCCCTTCCTGCCAGAAGACCGCAGCTGCCTCGGCCGCCTGGATGCAGCCACTCACATTGCAATCCCAAACTGGCTAGAGAGAACCAATACGGGCCCAACGTTCCAATCAAATTGCATACCCCACACCAAGAAAACTGCAGACATTTCAAAACTAAATCTTAAAGAATACATCAAAATACGACTATAAGTCATGCAGAAGCACTTTCATGTCTATCCAAAATCATTGAACAAATATGGAAAATCAGTTGTTTTCATCAATTGTTCAACTGATTACTCTTTCACTCTTGCATAATCAAACATAATTAAACATGAACCTCCATTTAGTACGATGATTTTCCCAGTTGTCAACCTCCATAGTTTTGTTTTAGATATATATATATATATATCGCTCTCTCTCTCTCTCTATGTAAAATGGATGTTCCCCTTAAAACCTGCATTTCTCGTGGATTTTCCCATTTAAACCTCCATTTATAGATGATTTCCCAGCTATAAACCTCCGTGTCTCGTGGGAGAAATTTCGGCCTTGGCCGCCGCCGCGCCGTAGCGCCCCATGGCCGCCAGCGCCAGCGCCGCGGCGTGCAGCGCCTTGCCGACGCTGCGCGGCGAGGCGGCCTTGGAGAGGGCCTCCTCGGAGGCCTCCGCCATGTCGCTGCCAGGGGATGAGATGATTTAGATGGAGATATTTAGGGCAAATTTAGATACATATAGATACATGTGTATGAGAGAGAGAGAGATGTATATATATATATGTGTGTGTGTGGGTTATATGTGTATGAACTTTAAATATATATATAATACTATATTATATGTATGGAGGGAATGTTTTTCTAATGGTGATGTCAGGTATAAATTATGCAAGGCCAGTCATTACGCTAGGCCCATCAATGAGGTAAACCTGCCATAATTCATCCCCAATCTGAGGTTATGGCATTGGGTATCACTGGCTTTAACCTCATGGGTTCATCATTGGGGGTATTACTCAATGGCGATTTCATTGCTTAATCACCACGAATATTTGAGTTTATAACCATCAGGTGTACAAGTAAATAGCCATTTACAACTGGGATTATCATGAAATTAAATCACCAAATAATAGGTGTTTAAGAGTCTATTTATTGTTCATATATAACTCGGCGGTATAATAAACCTCAGCTATAAACCCAAATGAGTGCATTAGAGTTATAACTGGGGTTATTAGTCCCATCCCCCTAATACCAACACATCCTAAATGGTTCCAAATATATAAGTGTAAATATCCTACTAAACCATGGTTCCAAGGGATGTTTACATATGTTTACTCTTATGGGGGATGACTTAATCACCCTTCACAAGGTACATTAATGAGGGAAACCCAATGACCCATTGGCTATGTTTGGCAATGTTTGGTTTATGTGGGTTTAATGATGGTGATGCATCACCATTAAGCATCAATGAGGTAAACCCAATGCCATAATTCATCCCCAATTTGGGGTTATGGCATTGGGTATCACTGGCTTTAACCTCATGGGTTTATCATTGGGGGTATTACTCAATGGCGATTTCATTGGTCAACCACCAGTAATATCTGGGTTTATAACCATCCTCAGGTTTATAACCTTTATAACCTCAGGCGGGTCCAGCTGTAGCCTTGCAACTAGTTAGTCACCATTATGTAGTACATGGGGTTAATCATTAACCAGCTAATGATAATTAATAGTGCTATTTATAACTGGGGTTACCATTAGACAGCTATTTAATATAATTGGTTGATCATGATTAATCTTGCATCCTGATTAGCGGCTAGGTTCGCTATTGTGGCTATTATTCAGAACCCATGATTAGATTGGACGTTTCACTGTTATAGTGAAAATAATTTTTGGCAGACCAATTGTGTCAAAAAAAAGTGGTGTGAAAAAACTAAAATATTGCTCGTCTGCCTTTCCCAAAAGAAAATCTGATCGCTTGTTAAACCCTTATTAAAGAACAGCTTGTCCACAAATTTCCAAGGCGCTGGACCATGAGAGGGTACAGTTCACTTTAGTAGGTTTGTTGCCTAGGTTCACACTTGCAGCAAACTTTTCCGGAGGTGATCCTGGAGCCAAGAGAAGAAAGAAAAGCCTTTACAAAAGCAACCTTCTCTTCCTCTTCGTCTTCCTCTTCCTCTTCGTCTCTTTCTCTTTCTCTTCCTCTTCTTCCTCTTTCTCTTTCTCTTTCTCTTCCTCTTCATCTTTCTCTTGAGGTGCAAAAGGTAACGCAATCAACATGCTGAACCCCACTCACTACCAGTACTACAAGTACCACAAGTTTGATTAGATTTCAATTGTCGCCAATTGAAATCCTAATTACTTAAATGATGATTTTATTTTATTTGGGGAACAGCTTTTAAAAACTCAATTTTAAAGAGGGCATAGCATTGGTTTGAGGGGTGCCCACAAATCAGGACTGAACATTGTATAATCACCATTGGTATCTTTGTATAGCTATCTGCTATCTATCATCATTTTTTGTCAATCACCATTCAGTATTTTCATCACAACTAGCCTCTGGTAATCTAACGTGGCTGGAGAATCCCCGGTCACTCAATGGAGGATTTTTTTTGTTCCTTGGGAAGTTGGAAAGCATCGAACTCAATGGGGATGACTGGAGAAGCTGGGTGGCTGGGTCTGATAATTTCTGTAACATGATTGTTCAGATGATTTAAACCAATGGTAGAATGAAACCATTCGTGATGGACTTTTTTGGTGCATGCTTTTGTGAAAATCTTGGATCATCCCGGATCGAATCATTACAATTTGCAAAATCTGTGATTTCCGCTTGGAGAAACATGAAGAAACGGGGCTTCAACCAACCCATCCAACCACCAAAATGATGGGTGAGTAAATATGATAATTAAATATAATTAATGTCAACATTATAGACAGAACAACCCACAACTGAAGAGGATGACAGGAGTCAGGGAATTCGTGAACCGAATCCAAAGACAGGATCCAGTCTCTACTTGGCCTGCTGAGCTTTCAGGGGCTGTTCCAACTTGAAGTAAAGGTTGGTGAGAATCCTTGGCTCCGCTACCCACGGCACTTCCTGCAAGCCCCCAGAAGTCCAAAGCAAATGTTGCCGAAAAAAGGCGCTTTAAGAAAATAATGTGTACTTTGAAATCACGATGGCATTGCAACGGTATTTGTCAATCCAGAGTTGCAGCCCAATAGTTATAACATGTTATAACCCGCACAAGTTGAGACAGAACGCCTACATTTATTGGTCATATACATCCATATAACCATTTATTGAATGGAAGTGGGCCCAACATATAGGGGCGAACTACCCTCTGGTAATTTAACATAGCTATTGAAAATGGCCATAGAAATAGTGAGTTTTCCCATTAAAAATGGTGATTTTCCATAGTTATGTTAATTTACCGGAGGGTATTTTACGGCTGACATGTCCAGTTACCATGGTTGGTAAAGACCCATATTTTACGGCTGGATCTTCCAACGGTGGCGCCACCAGCGACGGGGTGGAACTGGGTGGTTTCTCACGCAGATTTGACCATTAAGACACCTGGCTGGTGGTGATTAAAAAATTGACCCATCAAAAAAATGTGAGACATCTCAAACCAATCATCCCATGTATTTTTGAAAAACCGTAAATCTATGTAAATGTGGCGGTTTCCGAAATGGGGGGTACCCCTAAATCATCCATTTTGATAGGATGTTCCATTATAAACCAACTAGCTATTGGGGGTACCCCTATCCGTGGAAATTAGATATTCAGATATTCAAAAACCCTCAACCAAATAAGGATGCGCATCCACCCGGTCGCCGCTCGGCGGCAACGCCTAGGATCAGTTGTGCCATGACCTCGTACTTCGTAGCCCGCTGCTCCTGCACTTTTCGCATCCCCTGACCTTTGGAAACATCACCTTGCCATGGCTAAGGTTGGAATACGTTGGATATCAGTCAAAAAGATGTGTTGACAGGGGGGTTTACCGGGTTTACCAGGCTCCTTCGTGGTTTTTGTTGGAAAAGTGCATCAACCAAAGCAACCGTTCACAGTCACTTTGCCAGCCCCTTCCCTATTTCAGTCCATATTTGAAAGTGCTTCATACATGTTACAACGCAGTCATATGTGGAATATTCCCAGCTATCAGTGACCCCTTAATCTTCCATACTCCAAGTTCAACCGTCGGATTTGTACTGGAAGAGAATCAAACATTGGCAAGGTGGGTTGCATGGTCATCAATCCACTTGCAATAGAAATTCTCACTTGCAAGGTGTTGGAACTTGATATGGTTTGCTTATATATTAATTGTTAATCCTTTCCCCCCAATAAGTTTCGCATTGGATCTGTTCATTTTTGGGGGCTCTAAAAAATCGTGGTCTTCAATGGTATTCTTTGCTGCTATTTGCTATTTGCTATACCCATTTCAGGATGGAGTGAAACCATATTAAACCATACCCTCTGGTAATTTAACATAGCTATTGAAAATGGCCATTTATAGTGGATGTTCCCATTAAAAATTGTGATTTTCTATAGCTATGTTAGTTTTCCAGAGGGTAATTCAACCAGCATTTTTGATCATTGACCCCCCCTTTCTCCATCAACTCCCGTTTTTTGGGCCTGAAAAATGCTGAGCGCCCGTTGGCAGCTCTCCAACGCCCCAAGGCGCTTCTTCGGCCCGCGGCGGTCCATATTCATCTCCTCAGTTGGTTTTTGGTGATCGAAAAATGGGTGAAAGATGGTCATTTTAATGGGATTTAATGGGATAATGATGGTTAATGATGGTTAATGATGGTTAATGATGGTTAATAATGGCTGGTTGGTGGTTTTAACCATCTTGAGAGATTTAGTCAATGGGAAGGATGACAACCCATATATTATGGAAAATAATCCAAATGTTCCAAACCACCAGCCAGTTAATATAGAGGTGTCCCAAATTCAGGTACCCCCCACAATAGCTGGATGGTTTATAATGGAACATCCTACCAAAATGGATGATTTATATTTATATTATATCAAGGGTAGCTAACCCCATCTCCCGTTGAGCGAATGTTTATTATTATGTTAAGATGAGTAAAGGTCATTCAACATCATTTAAACATTCAAGACCCGGTTGTAAGATGGCAGGTTAGACCCTCTGGGGGCTCCAATCGATGCTAAGGTGGTAAAACCATGTAAGACCAACTGCCATAAGCCTCCACTTGTGCACATTTTGTACAACCCATTTCTGGCAAGTCATACTAATCTCAGATGCTCCACTAAAATTTAATTATGCGCTGTGAAGTGTGCAATCCCCGTCATAGCAAACAAGACATATACTCTGAAATTATTGAGGGTGCAGTTTACCTTTTTTTCATGAGCAAAATCAAGAAAAAAACACCAAGTAAGTATCCCTTCACCAGTCGGCTTCCGGTCCCAGCTTCGGCCAAGGACAACAGCATGCAGGCCTCCCCACAGTGGTCCCCACTTCTGCGGAAGTCTTCCTCAAGGTACGCCCGCGTCAGTTCTGTAAAAATCCAAAGGGTGCCCGCAATAATCCTGAAATCATGAAATCACCATATCAAATAAAAAAGTGATGGGAAAAAATTTAAGGCGATTCCTTCCCCTAATAAAAATACATCGTTTCCATCAAACCTCTTGGATCCATTCATGTATATGGGGGGGTCATTTAGGCATGGAATCATCGAACTAGTTGCCATATGTTGCCATTCCAACACTAGGATGTCTTCTTTTTGCTCTCTGGCATGATTGTTCACCACAGGGAAAGCACATGATTTGTGCCTCTCCAGCGACCAAATGGCCATCTTTGATAGGAAAAGACCTCATCGATATTAAAAGAGTGTTTTCTGTTACCAGGTTAGCTTGCAGGACGAAAAAAATACCACGTTTTGTACCAACCAATGGTGTCCTTTGGGTTAAAAGAGTCCGTTTGGTTTACCGCGGGTGTGAAGAAATACCATGACCATCCATGACCTCTATCAGTCTGTGGGACCCCATGGCCTAAGGGATTGGGCAAGTAACGGATCCGGCGCCGCAGCCCGGGCTTTCCCCAATGGATTCGACCGGAAGCATGGTGAGGTCGCACCAACTGAGGATGCTTTCAACAGGATTATTTCATCGGATAGCATCTATTTATATAGTCCATTGATATATCCATCTATCTATATATATATAGTCCATCTATTTTCAAACAAAATCATCCATCTATTTATATAGCCCATTTCCATCCATTTCCAAAAACAGCCAGTACGATTCCGCGCAAATCCCAAGGTCCAAGTGATCCTCCGCCAACTTCAAGGCTTCCAGTGGTTTTCTCCCATCCCTTCCGACGGCATCCAGGCGGGTGAAAATTCACCGTCCCTGTTTGAAACATCGACCCGGCCTGGTAAACGAACATAGCCATGGTATAGATGGCCCATAGAAATAGATGGTTTACCGGTTTACCCATAAAAAATGGTGATTTTCCATAGTTAGGTTAGTTGACCAGAGGGTAACTGATCTAACTGTGAACTGTGATCAAACCCAGTACATCAATGAAAAGATTGCAGCTGTTGGATGTCCCATCTGTTTGATGATGCAGAGAAACCACTTCGAGACCCTTCCAATGTCTTGGGCCAATGTCTTGGGGCCAACCTCTTCATCTCTGGAGCGCTGAGATATGGTAGTTTCTGCTAGCTGCTACGTCATCAGGCACAAAAACGTCAAAAATAAGAAAGTGAAACCACATTGACGGTAAAAGAGAGACCATTAAACCATATTAAACCATATTAAGCCATTAAACCATATTAAACCATATTAAGCCTACTTTTTACTCAGATTGCTCACAGTTTCAAGTCAATTCTTCCAGTACTCCAAAACCTCACCCGACCGCCTTAGTGCACTTTGCCGATGATAGCCTTGGTTGCTAGCCCTGCAGGGCCATGGCGCCATGGATCACATGTTCTATGGACTCAATGGATCTTAGGATTTGATGTGACCTATCCCAACATCCGTTCTGGCGGAATAAATGCGGATATCCCTAAAATCCTGTTTGCCCAAATGGATAAAACAAAAAAATATTTGGATAGGATGGGTTAGATAGATCCAAAATCGTTCCAAAATTGTGTGGAAATGCCATGAGCCACATAACCCATCATAAGCCAACCTCTTTCACAGGGGTCAATGCCCTTTGGGGACCCTGGAGTTCAAATTTGAAGGCCGAAATCCTGGTCCGCTGAACATCCATGAGCCATTGACCATGGCACATATGACCATCCGGTCCTCAGAATCCTTGTGGGTAATGGGCTCAGAAAAATCCGTCCCCAGTACGTCACCACCATTTGAAATGGTCGCAAGTGGGAGCAAATGGAATACTACACCATAGTTTTCGGTGGGTAACGGGGATGGGAAAGTAGCCATGTTTTGACCATGGCACATATGACACATGGATACATATGGAATGATCACCCCAGATTTCAGCAGCGCTTGGCAGAACCCAGGAACTAACCATGGCCCGTAGCGCATCGTAGACCCCAAAGTTGTCACCACCTGGGCATTTTCAACGGGCATCATTTCTGAAGGCAGCCATCGAGTTTCACCCAGGAAAGCCAACTAACCATGACATACATATATACATACATATAAATAAACATTATATATAAATGTATGTATATAATTATATATAGACAGTATATTTAAAAAAATACAGTAGTTATACATAGTGTTATAGTCGTATAATGTTGTGTATATATGTATATATATATATTCCTATTATGATATACAGTAATTAGTAATTACACTTTTACACTTTTACACTATGGGAAAGTTCCACTGTTTCCCAAACCAGATTTAAGGTCATGTGGGACGATTTCCATGGCGAGATGGCTGGGGTCGCTATTTACTCTGATCCCAACAAGCAGCCCGTGCATTCACCAAGGCTCAGCGGAACATGGGGATGGAAATGCCCTCTGGGTGGAGAATCCCTTCCCCCTAATATCAAACACCTCCCAGAAACCATAGTTTTTTTAGTGTTTTGTAGGGGACTTACACATATTTGAGACCATTTATTTATATATATAGGGTGTTTCATAATGGGGGCGGGCGGGATATTCACCAATAACTGAGTGATATGGAGAGATGAAATATCCAAATATCCCCATCCCCATGGTCTAACCTCTAACGGTAAATCATCGAGCTGAATGGGCCATGTATTGCACTAGCAAACGGTTTCCAGAGCGTATACCAACAAAAATGCTGGAAGTTCAAGAATGCCACCACATTCTTCACCATATGTTCAGGTTCCATGATTTTCAGTGTAAATGATCAACATCTTCACCGGATGTCACTTATTTTCACTGGGAGAAAAAGGTAGGCCGTTCTCGGCCGAAAAACTCCGGGCGCGGGCACCGCGCCTCTCCGGAAAAGGTCCAGCGCCTCGCTGGCTTTGCCAAAAGCTTCCGGGTGCAGTTCGTCGAGACCCTCCTGCGCCTGCAACGGTAGTGGAGAAGGAGAAAAATGTGGTTCTTGGATTCAGGGGAGAAACATATATGTGAACATGTATATATATAATATGTATATTATATATATATATATTTATTTATTTATTTATTTATCTATTTATTTATTTATACATATTATATATATATGTATTTATTGATTTATTTTATTTATTTATTTTATTGATTGATTTATTTATTTATTTTATTGATTTATTTATGTTTATTTATTTATTTATTTATTCATTTATATTTTCATTTTCATTTATAGATATTTATTGATTTATTGATTTATTCATTTATTCATTTATTTATGTATTTATGTAGTTCTGTATTTATGTATTTATCTATTAAATTTATGTATTTATTTATGCATATATATATATATTTATGTGTGTATGTGTGTGTATTTTCAGCCAGAGCATGCCCAACATCTGGCGTGAAGCATAGCATGTCCCGGCAAGAGTTTGGAACTCAGAGGCTGGGAACAAAATGTGTGTGTGTGTGCGTGAAAAATTCTTACTTGCAGTAAGTAGGTTTCGCTGAAATGATGGATTAATCATGATTAATCAATGGGTAGGTTTCGCTGAAATGGTGGATTAATCATGATTAATCAATGGGAGCATGGGAGTATACAAAATATGAGAGTTGACCCAGCAAGATGTGAATGTTTCATCAGGCAAAAGCTGGAAGTGACAAGAAAAATTGCGGATTTGACCAAAAGGTAGAGTGTAACCAACGAAACCTGACATGTTGGAAGCCTGCAATTTGGATCTCAAAAAACATGGATGTAACATTGCTCACTCAACCCAAGCCAACATGGGAATGTGGATACGCCTCCCGAAGTAACTCTGATGCCATCGCGCAGCAGCCTTATCCAGGTGCCATGGCAACACTTCTCCAAGAATTACGCGTGGGGGATCATCCCAGTACCCCAAAATATCACAGGTCTGGGAATATCGGGTTTGGGAAGATGCGATTTTTGAGGTCCAATCTTGTGCTGCCTGTGGTATGTACTTTCAGCTCGAAAAAGGGCTGAGAGATGCTGGGAGATAACTGTGCTGACTTGCGGAGCCCCTTCATCCGTAGCCAAAAGGTGTCTGCGGGTGACCGCAAACATGTCCGCTGAGAAACGACCGACAAAACAGCAGCCTGCAAGCCAGGCTCTGAGTGGCCAGATGGGGCACGGATCTCATACCAAACCAATTCAAAGCTTGAAATGTACCCTCCTGAAATTCCTTTGAGGTAAACATGACATAAAAACGAATGGACTCACCATTCCCAGCATTCAGTAATGAACTTGGAACATCTCGGAACCCCCTCCCATGGGAAATGCGGAACAATAAAACAATAAATTATGAGCCCCGCAGCCCATGTTTTCCTTCAGGTTTTTCAAGCCCCGCAGCCCGCTCCGGCTTAGCCGACTCGCTCAGAAGACCTTCATGGTATCATCTTCCTTGCTGAGACATTGTGACTGCAAGCCCTCACATTAGCCGCCGGAAAAAAACCCAATGATATCACAATGATACTAAGAATGAGAACAAATGATGATGATATTCTTCATCATCACCACCACCACCACCATCATCATCATCACCACCACCCCATCATTTTGAATAAAAAGCAGAACGTTTTGCAACCAGACATCGGTCGGCTGTTGTTTCTATAGCATGGACCCAAATATGGCACTGGGAAAATATGCTATTTCAAGAGGAAAAACACTGATAACTAAAGGAGGATTACATTTGCTAGGCCAGGGTGCACATTTCTTTTGAATCCCTGTGAAGACTCACTTTCCCAGTAACAAGAATGATCACCGTTTTTCTCACTACAACGAACCATAACTTCGCCTCAGTCTGTCAGAGTTCCCCTAAAAGACACAACAACTGCGCAAAGACAAGAATGGCGACTGAAACCCATCCCCAATTTTTCGATCGCCTTGAGCTGTTTGGGTGCGAATTTGATCGCGCCTGGACCTGGGTCTGGACTTCTAACGAAGACGCGAGTTTTGACCCAGCGATTTCAGAAACCGAAAGAATAGGACTGGGTTATAGTTACAGAATATTACAGAATGTTATAGATTCAGATGATGTTCCAGGTTTGGACAGCATTTTGGGGTTTGGTCGTATAGCCTCATTACGTCATGGGTTTATCCCGGCAGAAGCGGTGAATGATTTGGATAAGGCCAGAGCATGGCAAAAATCAGATCTGCCATGACATTGCGAGACATTTAGTTTTGGCTGATTCAAAATATTCAAATCACTTGGCAAACCCACTGCCATTGTTGATGTTTTAATGTATATTCTCGAGCAGAAATCAACTTGTTTTCTTATGCGTAGACTCTTATATAATCCTGCATCTGCTTATGCTTGTAACGTATCAATGCATATATATATATATTAGATGTGTACTGGATGAAGATCATGAGATATTTTGTGTATATATATATATATGTGTGTGTACCTACTGAATAATTGTGCTGATTCTTGACGTGCTGCACTATATTCTATAATATTCTATATGTATATATAATTACGTGCATTGTATCTGCATGTGTCAAGACAGATAGATAGATAGATAGATAGATAGGATAGGATAGGATAGGATAGGATTAGATTAGATTAGATTAAATTAAATTAGATTTAGATTAGATTTAGATTAGATAGATAGATAGATAGATAGATTTAAAAAAAAAAAAAACTATATCTATGTCATATATCATCTATGTCGATTCCAGATATATGTAACACGCATCCCTTCTGAAACCTGTCCGGTGCAAGCGGCTGCGCAAGGTGGCTGCAAGGACCAGGTCGCGGTCCGCCTGCGGCAGGTTGATTGGTTTCTGCTTACCTACCATCAGGTGAGGCTGTACTGTAGTGTGGTATCTTAAAAGAAAACAACATTCATTGAAAAATGTCCTAATGTGCATGACAAAGACCATATATGATGTATCTATATGTGTGTGTGATTATACATGTATATGTCTATGTACATGTACCAGAGACCTTTGGTGCACGTCCTTCATACACTATATATATAAATATAATATATAATATACAATATACAATATACAATATACATATACATCTACATACATATACATATACATATACGCAAAATATAAGTGTACATAAGGTATGTAAAGCCAAAGCCTTTGTCACTTGAGTTCCGGCGTCGGAACCCAACGCCTTCAGTTCTTCGCTGCTGTGTTCCAAGGCCATCCCATCCTGATCTGTGACCCAGTGGGAATCATAGGGATAGCCAACAAAAATAGCGATACAATTGGTATTTAATCAACAACCAAACAACCACAATGGATATTATGATGATTGATTGGAATATAGTTGTTTTTTTTGCATATTATATATATATACATATCTAGATGTGTAGATATATATATATACACATAATTATTAATAATTATAGATGTATATATATATAGAACCAATATGATATATTATGATGTAAAGATTGGTTGGATGCCGCCAAAGGCGGATAGGACAAATCTGTCTTGAGGTGCCTCTCTTATGTGTTTTTCCCCATCCTCCATCGATTTGTAGGGGGAATCTCATGGGAAAAGCCAATGGTTGATCGGCCATTTGGGGATGATTTCCCGTATAAAAACCATGATTCCAGGGTTCGGGAGAACAGTGAGGTCGTGATCAAATTTACCCAGATATATATATATATATTAATACATCACCCACTATTAACCACTAATCACTATTAACCACTAATATAACCACCACTATTATAACCACTATATATGTATATATATATATTATGTTGATCATCCCAAGTAGGGTCATTGAGAACCAACAACTTGAGTCAAGTTGCCCTCGGTCCTTACATCCCCATGGTAATCAGCCAGGCCTTTGAGACGGCTGAGAAAACCACATCGCGGTCAGCCCTGGCGGCGTCTGTTTAAGGGTAAAAAATGCAGAAAAATGGCCCGAAATACCAGCTATAAGTCAGTGAAATACCCAGTAAATCAACATAGACCCTGGCAGATAGGGTTTTTATTGATGAGTTTCCGATAAAAATTGTTTAGCTTTCAGGGCCTATGTGAATGTACCAAAGGGATCCAGAGGGTAACTCCCTAATGATGGCATGACAACAGCCCATTCATGACCGTTTGTACCTGGTAAAGGGCTTTAACTGTGGATAAACCTGGAACCTTGAATCAACCCAGCTTTCCAATCCAACAGCAGGCTCCAGGGTTCGGCGCTTCCAGGGTGCCGTTCCCGTTTTTGGGTTCGGCAAAATGCCAGATGCACCACCCCCAGACCCAGATCTTCTCCCCTTCATGCGATGTAATGTGAACCCGGGATACATTAAACATCATTAAACCTCAGTTTGTTCAGAACGGGGGTATCCCAAAAATAGTGACAATTCCACTTGTCAGACTGGCACTCCGCAATGTAGCTATGCGTGCAGTAAGCCAACTTGCCCGATCGGATTTCAGCATTCAGGTGCATCTGGAACAGAAACACCGAAGGAAACAATTGTTGCCATCATCTTGTTTGAATTTTCCTCGCCGCGCCCATTTGATTGCCAATTCATGTCAAATATTGGCCATAAGGATGTGAAACGACATAAGAATCTCCATTCAAACAGATGATGTGGTCATCCCAATAGTAAACCGCACCCCATTCACCCAACCTTCTTATGTTGTGGGTATTCAAACCATACCCCCATGGGGGTGGCATGATCATGAGGGTACCATGTCTACCATTAAGAGAATCTCGGAACCCTCCAACCATCATCAACCCTTTAGGGTCAACTTCGCTTCTGGGACGCCCCCACTTGAGGGAGTCATCTGCAAAGGCAAGCGCCATGGGGTCTGCCTCGACCTCAACGTGGGTGTTTTTTGCCGGGTGCGTTTCAACGGAGATACTGTAGCAAACACAGATACATGTAGATCCTGTGGTTATTACATACATGTTTGCGCATGCAAATGTAATGTATACATAATTATTCATATATATGTGTGTGTATGTATGTATATATATATATGTGTGTGTGTGTGTGTGTATGTATATATATATATATATATATGTGTGTGTGTAAGTAAGTAAGTAAGTAAGTAAGTAAGTAAGTAAGTCAGTCAGTCAGTCAGTAAGTAAGTAAGTAAGTAAGTAAATGTATAGTGTGCGCGTATATGTGCATGCGTGTTTCTATGTGCATGTGCATATGTATACATATAGCTATATAGTCATATCTCAATACACCCCGGTCGAATAACATGCACCTGACCTGAATATGAAAAGTGTGAAGACATTAACATAACATTGAAAAACATAAACGGTTCTTTAACATGGAGAAAATAATTGGTTCAAAAGTTCAAACTGCTCCGATGAGCACCTGGTAGGATGTTGCGGTGTTTCCAGCACTTATGATGGGACTGCAAAGGTCTCCCACAATTCACCATGCAGCAACGGTCAGAAGTGAACGAATCAAACTGATAAAAACGCCCCTGAAAACTTGAACCAAACAAAAATTGGGACGTGGAAATTGCGATTTCTGGACTTTCAATGGTTTTAATTCTCATGGATGATGAAATATCATGGGAAAATGCAATTCTGACATAGCAATCCAGCAAAGCCAGGTTTGAGTACCAGAGCTCGATACAACGTTGGGCGGGCCCCCCACTTATGATTGCCATCAACATCCATAAACCATCGTTGAGCTAGTTACTGTATGTTCACCGAGTTGGTTCTCTATATATAATATACTGTAGCAATAGACATACATGAATATACCATAATATACCCCACCTTGCATGATGTTTAAGAAAATAGAATTTAACAAAAACAATACGGAGAAACATCCCCATCTCTGGCGATGTCCGAATCAAACACCAAGACTAGCAGCCGCCGCCAAGACAATGTCTCGGTCGGAACGCATCTCCTGAGGCTTCGGGTCCAGAGAAATCTATGAGAAACATCATATGGATCATATATTATGGTGTGTATATATATATCATATATCATATGTTTAAACTTCCCATATATCATATGCCATCATATACCTCACAATTCTTAGAAGATTTTAGATCGTTTCCAGGTTCCCAACCCTTCTAGGGATGCTGAAGTGGTAGGTATATTATGTAAGATTATGTAAGTATATACTAAGCCAAGGACTTGGGCTATCACACCGATTGCTGATCGGTTCAAAGCTATATCCAGCAATTTCACACCCAAGTCCCCCAAGTTTGGAGCAAACATGACACATCCGGGTCCAGAAAGTCAACCCCAAAGCATCCCAAAGCCATCACAGATTTCGCGCCTGCGGCATGTGCCTCAAAAGGGAGCTATTCCACCTGCGAATTTTCGTGGCAAGTCCCTTTTGGTTGCCACCATTTTTTTCCTTGACCTTTTGACACTTCACATTCCAACTTGAAGATCTCGGCCGCAAAGATATGAGATCCTGGAAAATCTCTATCTAGTTGGCTCAGGTGGGTCATGGCCCAATGGCATAGCTTGCTGAAATTCGGGATTTCTGCCAGACGTCGGTCCCATCCAACAGTCGGAATCCTGTGACCTCCAGCCCTTCGCCATGCAGCGACCCGCACCTTACCGCACCGGCAGCCAGCTTCTTGCTCCCACCTAGGGCGGAGACTTCCTGGCAGCTTGTTCTCCACCGAAATGGGGGGGTTCACCAACCAAAACTGTGAATTATAGTTCGTTGATGATACAGGATGGTGCCCCCCAGTTATAAGTTGGTTTATAAACCCCATTAACTATAGTTATATCTACCATAAACCATAGTTATGGGAGTTATAAACCAACTTAGCTAACTATGGGGCACCACCTTGTAGGTCAGTTAGTTCAACTAACTAGGCTAACTACTTTCTTGATCTTTTTGGCGGATATATCGGTAGTTCTACGGGGTATGACGGGGTTATGTCGGCTCACTTGCGAGGGTCACGTCGGCTCGTGGAATCCAGGACCCAGGGCGATGACTCGCCAATTAGCTGTTGTAGTACCTATAGTTGAAGATCGGCCATTAGCAAATGGCTTCCTGGCTGGGCCATTCTGTTTAAGACATATTCTGGAGACACATAATATATATATATATGGATATATATATATACATACAGTATGGGGATATAGAATATGTAATTATATATATATATGTGTATTACATATAAGGCAAGTATTGAACTTTTTGGCGATGTTGCCTCGCTCCGGGGCGAGCAAACCTCGATGCATGCACAACGCCATCCCAGCAGTCGTCCACTCCTTCTCTTTCTCCGCAAAGTCCTGGTAAAGGGACTGGCTGGGACTGGAGGTCACATGCCCGTAACAATACGGTAGATTTCACTGACGAAACCTGAACTAGTTCCCTTTGGTAATTTAGCAAAACTATTGAAAATTGCCATTTGCATTTGATTTGCCCATTAAAAGTGGTGATTTTCCATAATTAATTAGCTATAGTTTACCAGAGTGTAACTACGATGAACCAGGGATTTATGGTCAGTACATTCGTTGAAAACCGACATCTACAATCGCCCAGGGGCTATAAGGATTCATTCGTTGGGGTACTTCACCGAAGGCTTCTGAGAGTCACATGTCCGCCAATCAGCATGGATGTAGGGAATGCCCCAAACGTGACTGTTGCACAAAAAGAGGTATCAAACAAAAAGGTATCAAGTTCTCAATCGCTTCCCTAAGAAGCCCCCGTACATACATATATATATATACTTATATACTGTATAATACATATATATATGATTATATATGTACTATATATACTCTATATATATATATATATTTACATCTCCCACAAAAGTCCTAGTTCCCCTTCGTCACTTTTGGAGCCATCCCCAATTCGACCCCAAATCATCCGAAGGGGAAAACCCCCCCACCTCCGAAATCTTGCTGAAAATTTCTCTCCTTGGTGCGCCGCAGTCGAATTCGTGCCAAGATCTCGCCTATTTAAGCGATGATTATGATTGTGCCACAGGTTTCAACACATCATCCAGATTGCCATAAAAATTGTGGCAATATTTGATCAATCTGATCATATCTGATCCATATTCAGTGGGGGACGTGATGATAAACCAATGACATGGACCCGGAAAGGTGTCCCACTGGACCTCGCCCCGAGGGCACCACAAGAGATGCCGCGCGACGCGGCGATGGTTCACCCGTTCGGGACTGGCACCGACCGAGGAATCCCGGTCAGTGGAGGGGGTTTTGGGGGCCCAAAAAAAAAACTGGTTGGTGGTTTTAACCATCTTGAAAAAATATGAAAGTCAATGGGAAGGATTATCCCATATATTATGGAAAATAAAAAATGTTTGAAACCACCAACCAGAAGAGGTTGTGATGATGTCAGTATGGTTGGGATGTGACATCGAACCTGGTTGTGAACTGACCCAGGCAATACCTGGTTGGTCAGATTGTGATGATTTTGTTTCTGTATGTCTTTGTTTTTCTTGGCTTGGCTCCGACATTGGCAATCTAGAACACCAATTTGCTGGCACCAAGTCCCCCACCAGCCTCTTACAACATCTGAGTATCACTTGGTGTACCAGGCGCTGCGCAGCGGTCTTCAAGTCTGGGCGAGGCGAGGAAAATTCCCCCAATTGCTGGCTTAAATCCCGGCTATGTTCACGGGATATTCTCAATACAATCGGGACTAGCATCGTGGACTAATGCCGTACGTGGATCATTCCGGATGAATCTGCTGGGAAACAACTGGACCCACTGCCTATCCCAAACATGAGCCCCTTGCCTCTTAAGAATATGAAGTACGAGTACCCCGCTCAAAAGCCATCAAACTCAAAAGCCTGGTTCATGTTTTGAGCATCGGGTCCGCCCTCTGGTAATCAAACATGGCTGGATTTTTTCTCTAAAGGAGGTTTTATTAGGAAAATCATCCATAAATGGAGGTTCTAAAAGGATCTAAAAGGTGGATTCTCCCCTAGACATGCGAGGTAACCCCACCTCGCCACATGGCTTCCTTGAGGCGTTTCACGGTGCCCTCGATGGCCTAACATGATGAATGTGTAATTTGCACAAGGGTGTAGTATATAAACATGTGTGTGTGTGTCTGTGTATGCAGGTATGCTAGTGCAGTGTGTTGCGTTCTGTGTCTCTATCTCTGTGGGGGATGGATGGATGGATGGATGGATGGATGGACGGATGGATAGATGGATAGATAGATAGATAGATAGATAGATAGATAGATAGAAAGATAGATAGATAGATAGAGAGATAGATAGACAGATAGACAGATAGATAGGCAGATAGACAGATAGATAGACAGATAGATAGATGATAGATAGATAGATTAGTTAGATAGATAAGAAAGAAAGAAATATAGATAGATAGACAGATAGGTAGATAGGTAGATAGGTAGGTAGGTAGGTAGATAGGTAGATAGATAGGCAGATAGGTAGATAGATAGATAGATAGATAGAGAGAGAGGGAGAGAGAGAAAAAAAAGAAAGAAAGAAATAAAGGAAGAAAGAAAGAAAGGAAGCAAGAAAGAAAGAAAAGGATGGAGAGATATACAGAGAGAGGGAGAGAAAAGGAAAAAGAGATGGACACAGAGAGAGAGATAGAGATAGAGATAGAGATAGAGATAGAGATAGAGAGACAGATAGATATACACATATATATTCTGGAGAGCGGACTACCATGGGGGGTGGAGTGGTGAAAGTATTGATTTTGCAGTTTTTTTTTTTGAGATATGGAAATGGTTTGCACATGAAGCCACAAATCACGACTGTCACCCCCCATGATCCTCCCTTCTGATAGATAAATAGAATAAGGTTGGGTAAGATAAAGGTAAAGATAACGATACGATAAGACTAGATCAGATAGATCTCCTATCTGGATATCCCGGCGGCGCCGCCCAGCCTGGACCCATTGCTCCAGATTTTCGGCTTGGAGCCTCAGTCAGGACTGTCTATGCAGAACTGTACGTTGCATTCTCGTTTCTATATTGATATGTATGTATATATATATATATATATTTATATTTATATTTATATATGTATATGAATATGTATATGTATATATATATATATTGTTTTTTTATTTATTTATTTTTTATATTTATATTTATATATGTATATGAATATGTATATGTATATATATATATATCTGGCTGAATTGCAATATTTCGTAGGTCGTTGGGTCGATTTTTTTATTTCAAAATTGAAATAAAGTTTACGTCGCAAGAAATAGTGAATTATTTTTACGTCGGGCAAGATATATATATATATATAGGTGACATTTCCATAGCACCCACCTGGCGGGCAGTGGCCGCTGACAAACGTATCTGGGATAGATGGTGCCAGGGAGAACTTGACATAAGAATGCTTTGTATATACCACAGAGATATATTCTAACATGTTGGACGGATGCCTTGCTTCTCCCCCTAAAATGAGCGGGAACATCCAACTCATGCGCTACAGCTAAAGAAAAGTGAAGGAATAAACACTAGGTCCATATATGTGTCAGATAGTTTTACATCACTCTGGGAATTGATCCCATTACCTCCCGCTTGCAAGGCTGACACTCTACCAACTGGGCTATTGAGTCTTCAGCATCTTGGTAGTTGACATATGTACCGAGATATGCAAGGATAGAATGGAAGACTACCAGAAAATCGTGAATACGCTCACAGGGGATGAAATATCACCAAGCATGGAAAGAAACATTTGAGAGAGCAAGAGCCGAGACCAGGGAGGGTTCGAACCCCAGCTCGTTTCGCAAGACGTCCAATTTGACCTTTTCGCGGGCTGAAAAGCTCAAATTGGACGTCTTGCGAAATCCTACCCGCCCAAGTCCTTCAGCAAGGGCGAGTTAGCCATGCTTCTCTCCATTGCGGGTGAATGAGGACACTTTAAAGCCCTTAGTATCCTTAATTCAGTGGCTTAGGTCGATTTCTGGGGTGACGTCGGGTGACGTCGTTATAATTCGGGCAGAGAGATATATATATATATATATGTGTGTGTGTTGTTATCTATACATATCTATCTCTCTCTCTCTTCTGTATATATATATATGTTAACTCATTTATCTATGTAATTATTTAATTGTTGCTTAGGGTGGATTATGGTGGTGTATCTATTTGCATATGCGCGTAACTATCTGGAAAGATCCACCAGGGTAAACCTCATGCGTATGTGATGGCATAGGCGTTACAGGTCGCAATTGAGGAGACATTTTGTTCAAGAAATACTAGAGTACCTCTTTGACCTGAAAACGGCTTCTTCGAGATAAAACTGCATTTATTCAGAGGGAAACTGCATCTTTTTGAGGAGATACTGAGATACGGATGATACTGCATGTTTTGCCAGACCACCCCTTCCTTGAAGGAACGCATGCTTTCTGAAAAGAGCATATGTTAAACTTTTTGGAACGAGAATCCCTTCCCCCTAACATAATACCCCCCAGAAACGCCTGGCTAATTTTGGTGGCCCATATAGGTCGTTAAACTTGTTGGTGACGTTATCTCCCTGTTCTCTCTCCACATTTTCAGGCCAAGTCAAGCCATATTGAAGCCATATTGTGAGTATTACCGCCCCTAAACGAACATAGACCCTGAAAGTAGCCATGTTTAGAGGAAAATAGTCTTCCACCCACAATCAGGCGGGGTCTGTGTTGCTTGGAGGGCCAGAAATCATCAGATCTGTCAGGTGACATCCCTATGTTGAGGGCAGATCAACCTGACACCAAATTGCAGGCCATGCCACGGGTCGAAGTAGACCAGTTGTCTGCTCCCGGCCTGCCAAGAAGCACTGGGAAAATCGACAGGAAACCGTGGTTCTTGTCCCCTAAATTGCCACAAATACAGGAGCGTGGTGAAAATGTTCCCTCACAACAATTATATAATCCAATTCATCAAATATATCGGGTTTCCTGCACATATTTTGTCTCAACCACTTCTGGCATATCATCATTATACATGCCCAGATGGACATGTGTCATCGTATGAAAAGAATCTGCGGGTTTGCGCGGGGCCCACCCAGACAAAGCATAACTTGTCGCTACAGCCGACTACGTTCTTCTGTCCATGTCGGGCACTCCTTTTGGTCTGTCTATGTCTTTTGGTGCTTTCTTCTTCCATTTCCAAACATTGCTGTCCCGTTTGTGGCTAGATACAGGTAGGGTGCTACAGACGGGTTTGTTCCCAGCCAAACCGCTGCTCAAATCCGAAGAGTTTAATCCCATCCCCTTTAGCACCCCCTAAAGGATATCAAACAAGACTAAAATATACCTGGCGGTAGCTGCCGGTAGCTTACAGTTCTATCATGGGACCTATCTTTTGGTGGTTGCTATATGTTGCTATAAGGATGGGACAGCATTGCTTACCCGGCTTACCCAATGCTCCCCATTCCAACCCTCCAGCCTCAGGCTCGAGGTCAAGGACAAAGCCGTTGGGCCGCGAGTTGCCTGCCATGGCAAAGCCGCCATGGCTTGCCGTGGGAAAAACTCCAGCCACGGCAATGATGACACCGGGCATATCATCGGTATACAGTTTCTAACGGAATCTATCTGAAGTTTGTGTTTTTTGTTGGCAGTTTTGGATAGTTTTGGACTGGATGTTCGGCATTTGACTTTGGACTGGACCCGGATCAAAGATGGTTTTTGCCTCAAGCGCTGCGAAAATACCAGGTTTCCAGGCGATACAGAGCCGAATCCCCATGGTGAGCCGCCTGTGGTGGCGTGACAGGTCACGTTTGGGGTCCAAGGGGGCCTTTTTGGAGCAGAAAATGCATATCCTCCCCTTGCAGTAAACATCTGTCAAAGAACTCCGGAAAAAAATGGATCTCTGCATGTGTACAATGTACACATACATATATATATATATATATAGTGTATAGATATATATATATATATACACGTGTATATTGATTTTGGCAGCCAATCTACGCTAGGGGATGTTATTAGGGGGATGCACTTCTTCAACCATGGCCCATGGCAATCGAAACCCCTGGCCCCTATCATTCAATGGCTAGATCGTCTACCAGGATTTTAGTATCCTGTTTTAGTACCACCGGAGTGCAACTGAGGCAACTGCCGCGACCAACAGCAACAAGAATAGGGGGTACAACGGGTACAATGGTACAAGACCAACAGCAACGGTGATATACCCTCCTGGAATCACACATGGCTGGCTCAAAACCCCATGAGTTGTACAGATGGATGAAGATGGGTGAACTACAATGCTACAAGTATGCTTCTTGATTTCATGAGTTCTTCACCAGTAATCCCAGTAATCATCATGGAAAATCCCCAGGAGAAATCGCCTTGAAAGGCGTGAGGCAACTCCCAGGTTTCAATCGGGCCATGGCTTTTCTCACTTGGCAGTCCTCACCCACGCCATCAAACTGCTGGATTTATGGGAAAATGTGAACTAACCGTGGTAAAAACCATAATAAACCATCCACAATGTCACCATAAATGGATTGTATATAGTAACATAGACCCGGGCAAGCCGGCGGCGGAAGTTTCCCAAACATAAATGACCTATAGTTCAGAGACACCCTGTCCCGACCGTGTCCTTCCCTCGACACTCCACATCTCACACTGCACACTGCACTCTTCGCACTCCAAACTTCAAACTTCACACTCCACACTTCACACTCCACACTTCTCACTTCTCACTGCTTCCTTCACACTCCAAATCTCACACTTCACACTTCACACTGCACACTTCACACTTCACAGTCCACACTTCACACTTCACACTTCACAGTCCACACTTCACAGTCCACACTTCACACTTCACAGTCCACACTTCTCACTTCGCACTTCACACTTCACACTTCACACTCCACATTTCACACTTCTCACTTCTCACTGCTTCCTTCACACTCCAAACTTCACACTTCACACTTCTCACTTCGCACTTCGCACTCCACACTTCACACTCCAAACTTCACACTTCACACTTCTCACTTCGCACTTCACACTCCTCACTGCTTCCTTCACACTCCTAACTTCACACTTCCACTTCGCACTTCACACTCCAAACTTTCAAAACTTCACACTTCCACACTTCACACTTCCACATTCTCACTTCTCACTGCTTCCTTCACACTCCAAAACCTCACACTTCACACTTCACACTTCACAACTGTACCACATTTCACACTTCACAGTCCACACTTCACACTTCACAGGTCCACACTTCACACTTCACAGTCCACACTTCTCACTTCGCACTTCAGACTTCACACTTCACACTCCACATTTCACACTTCTCACTTCTCACTGCTTCCTTCACACTCCAAACTTCACACTTCACACTTCACACTTCTCACTTTGCACTTCACACTCCACACTTCACACTTCTCACTTCTCACTTCTCACTTCTTCCTTCACACTCCTAACTTCACACTTCTCACTTCGCACTTCACACTCCACACTTCACACTCCACACTTCACACTTCTCACTTCTCACTGCTTCCTTCCCACTCCAAAATTCACACTCCAAAACTCACACTTCACACTTCTCACTTCGCACTTCGCACTCCACACTTCACTCACACTTCACACTTCACAGTCCACACTTCACACTTCTCACTGCTTCCTTCACACTCCAAACCTCACACTTCACACTTCACACTGCGCTCTTCGCACTCCACACTTAAACTTCACACTCCACACTTCACGCCCCACACGTCCAACTGCTCTAAACTTACGTGCAACAAAAAAACTAGCGCCAAAATGGAGAAAATCATAGGGCTTTGGGTCTGATGTCTGAAAAAAAAATGGTCCAGAAAGTCATACATTCAACAAACCACAAAACTCCAACCCATGCTGCGCAAGGCATTGAGAGGATCTCAGTGAGAGCTTGCATTGACTCGCTCCCACGACAGCTTTGTTTTTTCACATGTATGCAATACGATCATGGTTGTTTGTGCGGTTCGTAACAACGCACACATAAACCAAAAGCAAGTGACAGAGGCATTCTGCGGTTCGCAAGGCTAAATGAAAGGCGAAGCTACTGAAGGACAGCAATTCAAACTCGGATGCGGTTCATAACAACGCACACCCAGCCCTTGGCAGTCAAGCGAGAGTCGATCCCAATCGCTGATGCTGTCCTTGACCCATCAGCGACCAGCACGTCATGCACAACACATGGCCATCCAATGCCTGTGCAAAGTCAAGTGGTTATAGTGGTGAATTACAGGGATCGGACTATGGGAATTTATTACTTAAACTACGCTTGGCTTGTGCAACCGTGGCGTCTGCGTCCCATCCTCAAAGATAACATGTGCGACACAGGCGGCACATAACTGCATACCCGCGTGCGTGTCTTGTGAGAGGCCACGTGGTTGTAGTGGTGAACTACAGGGATCGGACAATGGGAATTTATTACTTAAACCCTGCTGGGTTTGCGCAAACGTGGTATTTAGCACACTTGGCACATGTTTGACACAGGCAGCACATAGCTGCAAACCCGCATCCAAGACCTGTGAAAACTCAGTTGGTTATAGTGCTGAACTACAGGGATCAGACTATGGCAATTAATCACTTAAACCAAGCTGGGCTTCTGCAAGAGTGGCATGTGCGACCCTGTCCTCACAGACAACATGTGTCACACAGGCAGCACTTAACTGCATACCCGCATGCAAGGCCTGTGAGAAGACTACGAGTTGCTGCTCTAAAACAAGAATAATGGTGAGATTCACATCCTTATGATCTAAGACAATAATCATGTCCGCGGGCCAAAACACCGAACGAACAGTGGAACCACAAGTTGCTCACATGTCCAAAACAATTCTTTCTCAATTACTTGAAGCAGAAACATGTGTTAGCAATGGCATTTCTCGAATGCATATGTACCAAAAACACATCATGTCTGTTTCTGTTACCCATAACACATGCGTAGGCAACAAACATCATGTCTGTTTCTGTGAGCCATAACCGACCGACGTCTAACATTACTACTGAAGCCACAACCAGGGACACTAATGCCGTCACTTCTACTTCCCACTGTCATTACCTAAAAAGGGGCCAGTCCAAACAGTTACAATACTCATTGTCACTACAGTTACAGCCACAACGGTCATTGTCAAAGTAGTCTTTGTCATAGTATCTAAGGTCACAGTAGTCATGGTCAGAATCGTTTGATATCTGCAACAGTCACATCAGGTATGGTCACACTAATCAAAGTCACGGTGGTCATTTTATGGACGTTATCAACATACAACCGCACGAACGATGGAATTACGATTTGAACCAACCACCCAAAACACAAATGATTCGAACCCTGCGTCAACGATGCCTGCCTATCCTATCGTCTGCGTCCTCCCTTACATCCTTCCCGCCGCATTCATTTTTTGTCGGTTTAATCTGCGATGTCCTCGGCGTCTGCATCGCTGATGCTGTCCTTGACCCATCAGCGACCAGCACGTCATGCACAACACATAGCCATCCAATGTCTGTGCAAAGTCAAATGGTTATAGTTATGGATTGCAGCGATCGGACTATGGGACTTTATTACTTAAACTACGCCTGGCTTGTGAGAGGCGTCTGCGTCTCATCCTCAAAGATAACATGTGCGACACAGGCAGCACATAACTGCATACCCGCATGCGTGTCTTGTGAGAGGCCACGTGGTTGTAGTGGTGAACTACAGGGATCGGACAATGGGAATTTATTACTTAAACCCTGCTGGGTTTGCGCAAACGTGGTATTTAGCACACTTGGCACATGTTTGACACAGGCAGCACATAACTGCAAACCCGCATCCAAGACCTGTGAAAACTCGGTTGGTTATAGTGCTGAACTACAGGGATCAGACTATGGTAATTAATCACTTAAACCACGCTGGGCTTCTGCAAGAGTGGCATGTGCGACCCTGTCCTCACAGACAACATGTGTCACACAGGCAGCACCTAATTGCATACCCGCCTGCAAGGCCTGTGAGAAGACAGGAATTATGGTGGTGAACTACGGGGCTTAGACGATGTGAATTTGGCACTTCATATTCGAAGGCAACATGTGCGACACAGGCAGCACGTAACTGCATACCCGCGTGAGGCCAACATGCCTGAAAGACAAGCTTACCCGTCATAAACATGCCAACGCAAAGTCAAGCGGTTATAGTGGTGAATTACAGGGATCGGACTATGGGAATTTATTACTTAAACTACGCTTGGCTCGTGCAACCGTGGCGTCTGCGTCCCATCCTCAAAGATAACATGTGCGACACAGGCAGCACATAACTGCATACCCGCGTGCGTGTCTTGTGAGAGGCCACGTGGTTGTAGTGGTGAACTACAGGGATCGGACTACAGGGATCGGACTTTATTTAGCACACTTGCCAGATGTTTCACACAGGCAGCACATAACTGCAAACCCGCATCCAAGACCTGTGAAAAATCAGCTGGTTATAGTGGTGAACTACAGGGATCAGATTATGGTAATTAATCACTTAAATGACGCTGGGCTTCACAGGCAGCACCGAACTGCATACCCGCATGCAAGGCCTGTGAGAAGACAGGTGCTTATCGTGGTGAACTATATAGTTAGGATAAGACTATGTGAATTTGGCACTTCATATTCGAAGGCAACATGTGCGACACAGGCAGCACGTAACTGCATAAACATGCCATCATAAACATGCCAACGCAAGTCAAGGTCCTGACACAGGCAGCACGCAACTGCATAAACATGCCATCATAAACATGCCAACGCAAGTCAAGGTCCTGACACAGGCAGCACGTAACTGCATAAACATGCCATCATAAACATGCCAACGCAAGTCAAGGTCCTGAATAAACATGCCATAACACATGCATTGACATGGCAGGAAGACGGCTAAAACAGGCCAGGGTCCTCAAACATCCCGTTGCGCCGTTTTCCGTACGTGCGTTTTGCATCATTTTGCACAATTTCATTCTCATCACTTGCACTGAAAAGTCATTTCGTGTGGGAGGCATTAAGCTTTTTTTCAGCATGCACAAAATGATGTGGAAATTAAGTTGTGTTTTTTGAAAAAGGTCAATTTCGCTTGTGTTTTCATCCAAATTTGACCGAGAATTATGTAAAAAGTAACATCGTTTCGAATAGGGTTTGCCCGCATAAAAATGTGTCATCGCAGCAAAATAGGCAAGAGAAAACGTGGCCTGCGTGGCATTTAGACAGATTTTGATTCCCCACCTGCCAGGTGAGGGTTGTTAGATTTTAGGTCAGTTGCCTCCTCCTCTTCTCCTCCTCTTCTCCTCTCCTCCTCTTCTCCTCCTGCCGGACCTCAACCACGATCATCCACGCCCACCTCCTGCCGGACCTCAACCACGATCATCCACGCCCAGTGTTCGCTGCCGGACCTCAACCACGATCATCCACGCCCAGTGTTCT